AATGTGTTATTTGATTGATTGATTGACTGGTTGCATTTATATCTCATCCTTTTCTCCCAGGAAGTGCACATGGAATTCTCACAAGAACCCTGCAAGGTAGACTAGGCTGAGAGGCAATGACTGGCCCAAGGTTCTCCAGAGAACTTCTGGGCTGAGTAGGGATTCGAACCCTGGTCTCCCAGGTCCTAATCCAATACTCCAACCACTACACCACATTTATTTTATGAGCTGTCTGGAGTGCAGCAGGCTCGCAATGTCATTGTCTCCATTCTCCACAAGAAATGCAGGAACGAAAAGGATAGCGATTTCATACAGCTATTTCTGTATAATTAGCCTAAAATCCCTAAGATCAGGAACGCGTTTCCGCACATGTTTTCCACCTACTCAAATTTATCCGTTTGTCTCTGCATGCATTCTTTAATGAGCAGTGAGGTCTCAGCTGTTAAGGAAGCTTTTCCCACAACCCAGGCACTTGATAGGCCTCTCCCCTGTGTGGATTCTCTTGTGCGCCCTGAGGAAGGTCCGTCCCTGGAAGGTTTTCACACACACCAAACTCTTGTACGGCCTTTCTCCGGTGTGGACTCTCTGATGTGTGATAAGTTGAACCCAGACCCTCTTGGGGTGTTAATGCTGTGAGCCCCTCCACTGTAAGCTCAGGTTTCATGTATGTGCAAATAAACCATGTATCTTAAAAGACGCCACAGTCTGTCCCTCATTCCAAAGGAAAGTGAAGCCTAGATAAGCACCAGGAACCCCTGGAATCTTTTTTTTTTTTTTAAATATTCATTTTTCTTTTTCATTACACATCTCATATTCATAACATTTACTATGCATTCCTTCCTCCCTCCCGCTCCTAGGCTTCCCCCAACTTCCGCTTCTAGTTTGTTTCTCCTTTCACCAACTTTGCTGCCTCCTAAAAGAAAAAGCTACTAATAACATATTTATACAATAACACCAAACCTAAAAACATAAAAATAACAATGAATACACCATATTATTTCTCTATCTTCTACACATTTTCTAATGCTAACAATGTGAATGTTTATTTAAATCCTGCCATCAAGTCTATAGACTTTCTTTGTTTCTGCAAATATAATATAAATGGTTCCCATTCTTTTTCAAAGTCACTGTTGTCTTTTTCTCTTAGTCTGTCATTTTTGCCAGTTCTGCATAGTTCATCAACTTCTCTTGCCATTGTTCTTTAGTTGGTATTTCTCCAGTCTTCCAGTTTTGTGCAATCAACATTCTCACTGCTGTAGTGGCATACATAAATAAAGTCCTCTTTTCTTTCGGTATGTCTTGGCCTAAGGAACCCCTGGAATCTTGCACTGCTCAGAGATGTGGGGCGTGCCTGCGACAATGCATGCATGTGCATGCGAACTGCCCTCGAAGAGGCGTTCCTCTTTCTCTCACGCACATTAACACCCTAGAACAGGCCTGTTCCCCTCTCACACATGCACATCTTAAAAGAGGCACGTCTCCCTTGTATGCACATCCAGAGAAGGGCATCCCCTCTCTTTTTCTCTCACACACAGAGAGAGAGAGGAGAGAGGAGAAAATGCCTCTTTCACAAAGAAGGGAATGCCTCTCCTCACACCCTCACATACGATACGACAATCTTTATTGTCATTGTCCCATACAGAACAACGAAATCGAAAAAATCTACATCAGACATTCAAGAACCAACAAGCCTGCTATCGCAACTATCCCAGCCTGGTTAGCCCCTAAAAACTCTTGATACCCTGTAATTAAACACAATATACTCCCACAGAGACTACCTTACACTGTGTTTAAAACCAAAATCACATTTGGGTAGAAACACTTTCTTAGGCGGCTAGTCCTAGTCTTTCTAACCCTGTACCTTCTTCCAGAAGGCAGAAGCTGAAAGAGATCATTTCTGGGGTGCGCACTATCCTGCGCTATCTCTGCAGCTTTCTTGTGACACCTGGAAGCGTAGATTTGATCCAAGGTGGGAAGAAAGCACCCAATTATTCTCTCCGCAGTCTTTACAACCCTGGACAGCTTTGTTTTTCCCCTGACCGTGAAGCTCCCAAACCACACACACAGACCATAAGTTAATACACTCTCCACAGTACAGTGGTAAAATGCCATCAACAGGTCCTCTGAGATATTATTTTTCCGGAGGATTCTCAGAAAATATAACCTCTGCATGGAAAGAAGGCAGCCCTGTTTAGGGAAGTTTTTAATGTTTGATGTTTTATTCTAATTTTAATCTGTTGGGAGCTGCCCAGAGTTATTATTGCTACTACTATTATTATTACTTCTCGTCTTACCAATGAAACCCTGGTCCCTCCAGCATCACCCAGGCAGGGTCTTCTCACCTGCTCCTCAGCCAGGGACGCCGAGACAGGCATTCTCATTTCAGTGTCAATTAAGTAAGGGTTGCCATATTTCAAAAAGTCTTTTTGGGGGGGCAGAGTTGTTGAGCTTTAAAAAGGGGGGGGGGTGTGTTTTTGAGTTATTTTTTAATGAAATTTGCCCAAATCTACACTGCCCACGTGGGCTGCCATACGTCCAGATTTTCCTGGACTTTCCAGCGATTTCCGCCCAGATGCTGCTTACGAGGGCTAAATACCGGCTATGTCCCGGAAACGGGGGAAACGTCCATTTTTAAAAAGCCATTTGGGACACAGGAAGCTATCTCCCTGGCACGCTAGATTCCTGTTTATGGATTTCAGTAGTTCTTCCAGGGTTTCTGACACGATCTTTCTGTGAGGAAAAGAATCCAAAAGCAGGAGGACAAGGTGGGGTGGAATAAAAGGCCTCTCCTTAGACACATCTGATTTCCTGTCCCTGAGAAAACCCTCTGAAGGGTTGCTAGGCAGCAGGATTAAGTGAATTGCATTTCAGTTCAGATGAAGCCCCCTCAGGGGTTAGTGCTGCCAGCCGAGTGCAGGGCGACACGCCAGCAGTGCTAAAATGAATATTATTTTTTTGCGGGGAGAAAGGCAACACTGGAACCGTTCAGGAGAATAGCAAACACTAGCAGCAAACTGGGCAAGGGAGATTATTCTCTGTGGAGCAGGGTCTCCATTTGGGTTTATGCTGCAGGAGATAATCCAGCCTAACGTCACACTTCCAAATTCCATGTTTCATTTGTTATTGCACTGTTTTGCCACCTTTCCTCCCAAGCGCCCTCAGGTGGCATGCATAATTCTCGTGCTTCCCCATTTTATCCTCACAGCAACCCTGACAGCGGAGGTGGAACATGGCCGCTGAAGCTAGGAGCCGTTGACAGCCTTTCCCTTCTCTTTTAAAGCCATCCAAGTGATTGGGCTGCCTCCTGTGGCAGGGAGTTCCATAGTTTAAGCACTTGGTGAAGAAGTTAAGTCATAGAATCATAGAATCATAGAGTTGGAAGAGACCACAAGGGCCATTGAGTCCAACCCCCTGCCAAGCAGGAAACACCATCAGAGCACTCCTGACATATGGTTGTCAAGCCTCTGCTTAAAGACCTCCAAAGAAGGAGACTCCACCACACTCCTTGGCAGCAAATTCCACTGTTGAACAGCTCTTACTGTCAGGAAGTTCTTCCTAATGTTTAGGTGGAATCTTCTTTCTTGTAGTTTGGATCCATTGCTCCGTGTCCGCTTCTCTGGAGCAGCAGAAAACAACCTTTCTCCCTCCTCTATGTGACATCCTTTTATATATTTGAACATGGCTATCATATCACCCCTTAACCTCCTCTTCTCCAGGCTAAACATGCCCAGCTCCCTTAGCCGTTCCTCATAAGGCATCGTTTCCAGGCCTTTGACCATTTTGGTTGCCCTCCTCTGGACACGTTCCAGTTTGTCAGTGTCCTTCTTGAACTGTGGTGCCCAGAACTGGACACAGTACTCCAGGTGAGGTCTGACCAGGGCAGAATACAGTGGCACTATTACTTCCCTTGATCTAGATGCTATACTCCTATTGATGCAGCCCAGAATTGCATTGGCTTTTTAGCTGCCGCGTCACACAGTTGGCTCATGTCAAGTTTGTGGTCAACCAAGACTCCGAGATCCTTTTCACAGGTACTGCTCTCAAGCCAGGTGTCACCCATCTTGTATTTGTGCCTCTCTTTAATTTTGTCCAAGTGCAATACTTTACATTTCTCCCTGTTAAAATTCATCGTTTGTTTTTGCCCTGTTCTCTAATCTGTCAAGGTCGTTTTGAAGTGTGATCCTGTCCTCTGGGGTGTTAGCCACCCCTCCCAGTTTGGTGTCATCTGCAGTGTTTTGGGACTACAACTCCCATCATCCCTAGCTAACAGGACCAGCTAACAAAACATCTGGAGGGCCTAGTTTGCCTGTGCCTGCTCTAGGAAAACATCAGGTTTGTTGTTTTTGTTGCCTTTGTTGTGAACTACAATTCCCAGAAGCCCTTACGAGCCCCAAAGCAGATACAGTGGTACCTCGGGTTACATATGCTTCAGGTTACATACGCTTCAGGTTACAGACTCCGCTAACCCAGAAATAGTACCTCAGGTTAAGAACTTTGCTTCAGGATGAGAACAGAAATTGCGCAGCGGTGGCGGCGGCACAGCAGCAGCAGGAGGCCCCATTAGCTAAAGTGGTGCTTCAGGTTAAGAACAGTTTCAGGTTAAGAATGGACTTCCGGAACGAATTAAGTACTTAACCCGAGGTACCACTGTACTAGCCACCTTCCCTTTGTGGGGAAACCAGCCAATTTTAATACAAACAAACCAAAGCCCCCAATGCACAAGCGGGATGGAACCCAGAATAAGGACAGGGGTTGGGAAGAAAGAAAGAAAGAAAAAAAAAAGAAAGAAACTCCCGATGCATTGCAAAGAAAATACAGGACAGTGATAAAAAAAGGAAGAAAACCCATTGCAATACTAATACTAATGTGATAATAATATCCGGGCTTGCATCCACCCTTTGCTTTGCCAAGGAGGAGGGGAGAGAGAGAGAGAGCAGATTCCTAGAAAGGAGCCCCAGAGAGTTAGTCTGGCCTCTTCCTGCCGTATCTCCTCCCCCTGCAAACGGAGTCTTGTGAAGCCACTTTCCCCCCGTCGCCTTCCTTCGCCTCCGGGAGTGGCTGCAGATCTGGGGGGTCTCCGGAGTGGGGGGGAGCAGGTCTCTTCCGGAGGGGAATCTGGGTAAGTTGCACCCAAAGAGGAGGCGGAGAAAGGGCTCGATCCTGAGTGGGTGGGGGAAGCAAGAGAGGGAGATCTGGCGGGGGATCGAGTCGCTCTCTTCGCTCCGGAGGAGGGAGAGAGAGAGAGAGAGTTCGCTCCCTTCCTCCTCTAGCCATAAGACATAAGGAAGAGGAGCAAGATCCTGGGTTCAAATCCTCCAGAGCAGAGGCTCTTTGCAAGAAGGGAGGAGGAGCTGAATTGCATCTGTGCATGTTGAGCTCGTTTAGGGTGCACTCAGTTTGGGAGAGGCAGCCCCATTGAAGCCAGGAGGGCTTACTTCCGAGTAGACCCGGCCAGGATAGCCGCTTCATAGCCTGCTTTGTTTTCTAAGGAGCTCAAGTCGGTGTGTCTGTGGTTATTTCACCACCACCACCATTGCCTGATCCTCGCTACAACCCTGAGAGGTTGGTCGGAGTGGGAGAGGATTGAGTTGCTGAGACACAGCCAAAGGATTTTATGGCTTGAAATCGAATTGAAGGCTGCCCTGGTCTTGACGCTTTTATCTGGGCTGCTCTGTTAAAAAGAACTATCTAAAAAAAGTATGTATCTACACACACATGTGCACATACACATACGCACACAGAAAAGTGGAATGGTCTTCCTCTGGAGGTGGTGGACTCTCCTATCTTGGAGGTTTTTAAGCAGAGGTTGGATGGCCATCAGTCATGGATGCTTCAGCCCAGATTCCTGCATTGTGGGGGGTTGGACTAGATGACCCTCGGGTCCCTTTCCAACTCTCCCATTGTTCTATGATTCTATGTCTCTTTTTTTATATTATTTTTTTATTCTATGTCTCTTAACGTGCCTTGGGGCTCCCAAGAAAGACTGCAGCCTTTAACCTTCCTAAAGGGCTCAACCCCGTTCCTCGTCGATTGCTTATAGAGTAACAAAAAAATAATTAACAATTCCCACCCCCTCTACAAAAAGTTAATTTTTAAAAAGCAAAACCTACGCGTAAAAACTAAAGATGGCACACGGTGTCTTGGAAGAGGCGTTTCTCCTGCTCCCCTTCGCTTTTACAAAGCACATATTTCATTTGGAGATTGTGTGCGAGTATATGCAAATACATTTAATATATGTCTGTAAATTAATGCAAGGCAGTTTGCAAAAAGGCATGGTAAAGTTGTGATTTATTACTGGGGTCCCCAATGTGACGCCACAGTGCCCTCAGGCTGCTCCTCTGACTCCCACCAATGTTTCTTGCCCCTCCCAATTTGTTACTGAGGATTTTTGGGGAAGGTGGGTGGGTTATCTTTCTTTTTGGATCAAAATAAAAAAATTCCTTCCAGTAGCACCTTAGAGACCAACTAAGTTTGTTATTGGTATGAGCTTTCGTGTGCATGCACACTTGTGTTACCTGCTTCTTTTGTCTAGGTTTTATTTGTTCTTTGTTTTGATGTTGCTTTGCGCGTGAGAATACTGACTACTGCAGTTTTTCCCATCTGTGAAATGGGCATTTGGCGCACTCAACGTAGTTCCTGAATTGCCTGACGCACACAAGTTTATACATGTACCCCGCACCTTCTCAAAACAAGGAAAGTACATTTTTGTTTTATTTAAAGACGAAAACACAGATTCTTGAAGAGAAGGAGAACAGTGTCTCTTCTACAGATAAGATCTCTGGGTGATCAGCTGTAGATTGGCAGCGGTACTGATCGCCCAAATGTCTAAAAGGAATTGTCTTAAACCGGGGTCAGCAAACTTTTCCAGCAGGGGGCCGGTCCACTGTCCCTCAGTCTTTGTGCAGGGCCGGACTGTATTTTGAAAAAAAATATGAACGAATTCCTATGCCCCACAAATACCCCAGAGATGCATTTTAGATAAAAGGACACATTCTAGTCATGTAAAAACACACTGATTCCCGGACCGTCCACGGGCCAGATTTAGAAGGCGATTGGGCCGGATCCGGCCCCCGGGCCTTAGTTTGCCTACCCATGGCCTTAAAGGCTGCCAAAATGAAGAAGGCTAAACCATTAGTGGACATTTTTTAAGTGTGTGTGAAAAGACTATGAGTTCAGCGCTGTTCTAGTACTGACAGAAAAAAGAAAGAAAAAGAAAATTTCTGGGTTCAGAATATGCTCAGGGGCACCCTGCTCTAACTGAGCGTCTTTCGCACCTGGTTCTGGTTGGTGGGGGGGCCTGAGAAACTTCAAGTCTGCCCCACCCTTGGCTTCAGCCCTACGCAAACATGTATGATTCATATCACTGAATTGTGTCAAGTGATGTCCTGACAAAAGGAGCTTTTGGGGAGGCAAAACCTGTTTGCAACAGAATGCAAACGAAAAACTGTTTGATAAATTAATCTGGCTACCCAAGTACGGGGGACGAGAAACACAAGCAGCAGAAGGGCAGTGAAATAATTAAATAAATTCGTGTTTAAAAATTGGGCACGGCATGGCAGTTGAATAGATCTGGGATGGATGGATGGATGGACACTTAGAGTTCAAAATTCCCACTCTGGCCATAAAGCTTGCTGGTCTCTATGGGCCAGTCACTGTTTTTCTGCCTAATCTAACTTTCAGGGTTGCTGTTGAGGTCAGGGGAAAGCAAGGACTGTGAATGCTAAATTCTAAGACCACTGATCATGCACTATTCTCCTTGGCTGTTTTTAGGGGTCCCCCACCAGCCTTTTATTCTCTAAAGCTTTTTTGTTTTTTAAAGGCTTTGCAAACCTCAGCCCCCCCCCCAAGCCTGGGGGTCTCCACCTCCCCACCCACGTCCCTGGATGTTTGTCCATAAAGTAGGGGTGCCGTACGTCCAGTATTTCCCAGATGTAGCTGGGAGTCGCCCGCTGGAAATAGCGTCTGGGCGGAATTTCCAAAAATCGGCAAAAACGTCCGGGAAAACCAGGGGGGTATTGCAACCCATGTCTGGAAGTGTAGATTTTGTGTCCTGATTTTCACTTTTTGAAATATGGCAAAAGACCCCCTACTTGGAAATCAGTGTTTGCTCTGAGGGTAGAGAAAGCAGTGCACAACGGCTTATGTGGCATTTGCGTAGTTATGTGTTATTTTTTAATTTTTTCGCAGGGTGAGGGGTGTAAGATTGCTTGTAAGATCATGGCATCTGGGGGAAGCTTCTCCTTGCCAGGAGGAGCGGCTTGAGGTTGCCATAATGGCTACCAAAACTCCTTAAGGAAGAAAATGAGATGGGCTGCTTTCATTACAGTGCAAGGGGATGTGGTCTGAGCTCACATCTGAGGCTGAGTTTTCCGAGGGATTTTCTTCTTCCGGAGAGATAATATGTGTTCTCTCCTAACCACTTCCTCCTCTGCTTTTAAAAAGGCTCTGTTCTTTTTCTGTCGTTCTTGGTGTGCAGACGTGGCTGAGGATCTTGGGCTTCCTGGTCCAAATTCATATGCCATCACCCCACCCCTCTTTTTTATAACATTTTTTATTGGTTTTACGAAATTTTATACATTTTAACCATTTCAAACATGAAAACAAAAGGTTCTGTTGAACCTTTGGACCTCCTTCCCTCCCTCAATGGGTTCCATATTCAAGATAAAATTCTCTGCATTTTTTTCCTTTATCCATCTGTTCAATATCCCTGACTATGATTTTAACTGTTTACAATGGTCTTTTAAGGAAACTAAAAATTTACTCCAGTCTTTTAAGAATACTTGATCTTCCTGGTTTCTGATTTTCCCCGTCAGTTTCCTTCCTTCCATCTCTGGGCTAGAAACATTCTCGCTGCCGTCGCTGCATACATAAAAAGTCTTTTTTTAATCCTTTAGGCCAAATTCATACCATACATTTAAAGCACCTTGATACCACTTTAAACAATCATGGCTTCCCCCCATTTTCTTTTTTTTGGGGGGGAACTGTAGTTCGTAAAGCGGACAGTCCCCACCCACCCCGAGCTACAATTCCCACGGTGGATTCACCATGAATCTCTCTTTTGGGAATTGTAGCTCTGCGAGGGGAATGGGGGGGGTCTCCTTTTTTATAATTTATTTAATCATTTTTTCAATACAAACAACAACCACCAAAAAACACATACAACAAAAACCACAGTAACACTAATAACACAATTTAACAATTCAGATTTGAGTACTGATATACCTATAACTACACCTTTTTAACAATATTTCCCCACTTCTCCTCCCCCCACCTCCCACCACTGTCCGCCTTATCGCTTAAGTGTTCCTTCCAGATTTCTTCATATTTATCCATTCTTAATTTGCGTCGACCTGCAGTTTGTTCGTATGTAGCTAGCCTGTCCATATTGTCAATCCATGTGCTCAGTGGAATCTTTTTGCAACTCTTCCAGTTCATCAAAACAAGTTTTTTTGCTTCTAATATGGCACGGTACGTCCATTTTTTTAGACCCCTTGCAATCTCCCACGTTTCCAGTATATAGTTTAGAATTAAATTCAGTTCAGGAATAGGGGGTCTCCTAAAAACTCTCAGCAGCCTGAACAAACCGCAGCACCCAGTTTGTTGAGGGTGGTGGGACTGTGGCTAGCAAAAACTACAGTTCCTATGATTATTCGGGGGGAGTCAGTGACAGTTAAAGTGGTATAGGAGCGATTTAAATTTATGGTGTAAATGTGACCCTAGAAGTGGGCTGGGTAGTCTTAAAGTTTTGGGGGAATCTGCTTTATTTTTGTTCCGTTCCAAGATGGTGGCGTGTTCATACGCTGCAGCTCTGAGCTCCCAATACTTCACCTACTCACTGTATACAAGTTGTACAAGTGACAATAAAGTATTTCCATTTTACCAGTAACCGGAAGTTTCTAGTAAAGCCAGATACAAAATGGCGGCTCAAGGGGTTGGAGCCGATGGCAGCTGCAGGCCACACACCCTGAGAAACCACACATCACTAGTAACCGTCATGGCTTCCTCCAAAGAATCCTGGGAACTGTAGCTCGCTGAGGATTCTCAGTTGCTAGGAGACTCCCATTCCCCTCACAGAGCCACAATTTCCAGAGTAATCAGTCCCTATTCCCAAGGAAATTTGAGATTTGTAGCTCTCTGAGGTGAATAGAGGTCTTTAATAGATGAAATTTCCAGTCTGTTACATCTAGGCCACTGTTAGAAATTAGCCAGGCGCGTTTTGCGCCTGGTGTGGGTCCAATTGCGACCACGTGGAGATCTCTGGATGCTAAGTTGGCTACTGACATCTCCATCTGGCTGGCCACTCCAGCTTTCTTAAGCGGGTCAGCAGAAGAGCTCATTTACTGCATTTATATCCCACCTTTTTCTCCAAAGAGTACATGGTTCACCCCCCTCCTCAGTTAATCCCAACAACAACCCTGTGAGGTAGGTTAAGAGGCTGTGACCCAATGAGCTTCATAACAGAGTGGGGATTTGAACCCTGATCTCCCACATCCTGGTCCGACACTCTGACCACTACACCACCCTGGCTTACTAGAGTCCTTATGCTGTGGGACAGCTCTATAAAATTAAGTGGGTAAAAAAATATAGGGAAAGCAAAATGTCACTTAGAGCAGGATCTTGAATATTTTGAAGCTTGAATTTGTTTTATTCTGGATTGTTTTATTTGATGCTTCATCGTGTCGTAAGCCGCTTTTAGACTTTTCCTTTAAAATAAAAAGCAGAATAGAAATGAAATTAAGTAGGGCTGCTGTATGTTTGGGATTTCCCGGCCATATCTGGGATTCGGAAACAGCATCCAGGCGGAATTTCCGCAAACTGGCAAAAATGTCTGGGAAAACCCGTGCATCTGGCTGCCCATGTTAATTTTGGGGGGCAAATTTCCTTAAAAATAGCTCCAAAACTTCAAATTTTGCAAAAAAAGAAAAAAAAGCTAATCAACTTAACTTTTGTATCTGGATTTTCAGTTTTTGAAATATGGCAACCCTAAATTAAGAAGAAGAAATTTCCTTGGGGAAAAACTTAGACATTACATTGCGGCGACCGTAACCTAGGTTTCATGTGATAAAAAGTTTCTTCCTTTTCTTTACACTTCCAACATTTTTTACTTGTTTTATACATTTTAGCTAATTTCACAGGGGTAATATACCACCTATACATCATTTTCATCACATTTTCTTTCAAAGCATTGCATGCAGTAAATTTTAATCCTTAATCTTTCCACAGTTTCCCCCAAACGTTTAGCTGTATATTATACCCAAAATCTCTGGCCCAATGTATCGTAACCGACTAAGTAGAAATGCTTCTGGTGGGAATGTAAAAAAGTGAAAAATTTATGGGAAATGATATATAATGAGATGAAAACGATGTTGAAATATACATATATATCTGGGTTTCTAAAACTGATCTAGGTGCAGGCTGGACATGTCTGCAGGGCCTCTGGGATCGCTTCCCACTTTCTCAAAATCTGCTCTCTGTCTCCCTCAGGAAAAGCGCCACGTTTTGCGGAGGACCGCCGCTCCCTTTGTGCCGACGTGGAACGACGGACGCTGCGCGCCCGGGATAATCCGAGTCCGGGAACGTCAGGGCGAGGAAAGGAAGAGCAGGGCGAACACCTAGGTGCATTCAGGAGATTTGCCACCTTCGGGAGCGAGTGTGAGGGAAATGTCCGCCGAGCAAGCCCCACGGATCCTCCAGGAAAAGAGCATCCGGGAATTCCTCCAGAGGAAACCGGGGGAAGAGATCAAGCAGGAGTCTCGCGATGGCCTCCTTCAGCAGTGGGAAGCCCAGTGGCAGGAGTTCCTGAAGACGGTGGAGGCCTCTCAGCCGGGGCCCCCGCAGCCGCCCGAGGAGCCCACCCCCTGGGACGACGCCAAGGCCTTCCTGGCCTCCTTTGAGCAAGTGGCCGAAGCCTGCCGCTGGCCGCGCGAGGAGTGGGTGACCCGGCTGCTGCCGGCCCTCAGCGGGGAAGCCAAGCACGCCTTTGGCAGGCTGGAGGGCCGGGACAGGAAGGATTATGGGAAGGTGAAGGCGGCCATCTTGCAAGGGGACGCCATTAGCCGGGAGAAGAACCGCCAGTACTTCCGGCACTTCCGCTACCAGGAGGCCGAGGGGCCGCGAGGGGTGTACAACCGGCTGCAGGAGCTCTGCCGGCGGTGGCTGAAGGTGGAGAGGCACTCCAAGGAGCAGATCCTGGAGCTGCTGATCCTGGAGCAGTTCCTGACCGTCCTGCCGCCGGAGATCCAGGGCTGGGTCAGGGAACGGGGGCCCTCATCCTGCACCCAGGCAGTGGCCCTGGCCGAGGATTTCCTCTGGATGCAACGGGAGTCTTTGAGATGGGAGCAGCAGGTGAGAGACCCCGCTTCCTCTCCCCGCCTGACCCCCGGGGCGCCAGATACGGCCCACTGGACCTCTCTGCCTGGCCCTTGCCAGCTCTGCTTTGCACTGCCTGACTGGGGCACGTGCTTGAATTCCGATCAGATCCCTTGCTTGTGTGGATAAAGGATAGAAAGGGATCTGTGTAGAAGCTAAGCCTCCTCATTTTGTTTGCCTCTGGCTACAAATCCTTTTTTTCAAAAAAATTTATTCATTTTATAACACAAGTAAACAACACAAACAGAATAACAAACAATACAAACAAATTCTTGTCTTATCCTTATTTTTTCTAAACATTGTTAGGTGAGTTTTCCCAAGTCCTCCCTATCTGATATTCATTTTACCTCATCTTTAGCAGTTTACATATATCAATTTTTAACCATTTTTTTAGCATACTTACTTTTACCATAATAATCTTCACATTTTATCCTTTACAAATAATACTATTTTAAAATACACTATCTTCTACTTCTAACCCTACAGCCTATATCCACTTCCAAAGCTAGTCTAAGATTTAAATATTAACACATTTTTTCAAATATTCTTTAAACGTCTTCCAATCTCCTTCCACCGTCTCTTCACTCTGGTCTCGGAGTCTCCCAGTCAGTTCGGCAAGTTCCATATCGTCCATCATTTTCATCTGCCATTCTGCGATAGTTGGTAAATCTTGTTTCTTCCAATTCTTCGCTAGTAATATTCTTGCAGCTGTTGCGGCATACAGAAAAAAAGTAACATCCTTTTTGGGGATTTCACCCCCCACTATACCAAGTAAAAAGGCTTCTGGTTTCTTAATAAATGTGTTTTTCAACACTTTTTTCAGTTCATTATAAATCCTTTCCCATAAGTCTTTTACCTTGGAGCACGTCCACCACATGTGGTAAAAGTTCTGGCTACAAATCCAGCAATATCTGGAGATCCCAGCCAGATGGACAGGGTATTATTATTGACAGGGAATAATCATCACCATCATCATCTACTGGTTTCCCCATTCCTGTTCTAAGCAGAGCCTCACTCAGATGGAAGATAGAATCAAGCAGACCTCCTCAATGCACCTTTTTCACTTTTGGATTTATTATAATTACACATTTATCCCACGTTTTCCTCCAGTGACCTCAAGGTGGCATACGAAACATCATTCTCCCCTCCCCATTTCATCCTCACAGTAGCCCTGTGAGGTAGGTTAGGCTGAGAGGCAGCGACTGGCCCAAGGTCACCCAGTGAGCCTCATGGCTGAGTGGGGATTCGAACCCTGCTCCCCCAGGTCCTAGTCGGACACACTAACCACTACACCACCCTGGCCTTTTGTCTTTGTCCAACATTCTCACCGTTACACCATGCTGCTCTCTTTACCTGCGAAGCTAAAAGCCTGCCAGTATTAGAAAGGAAAAGGTATTCAACAGGAAGCGGGGCCAGCAACCAAGAAGGCCCCGTCCCTTCTCTCCTCAAAGTGTTGTTTTCTCAATAGGAAGGGCCTGGTGGGGAAGGTTTGGTTTCCCACAAGTTTAAAGATAAAAGACATCTGAAGGCAGCCCTGTTTAGGGAAGTTTTTAATATTTAATGCTGTATTGTTTTTAACACCTGATTGGGAGCTGCCCAGAGTGGCTGGGGAAACTCAGCCAGATGGGCGGGGTATAAATAATAATAATAATAATAATAATAATAATAATAATAATAATAAATCTATTCAGCCCCCCCCCCCAATTTGGCAAGTCTTAGCTTTAAGCAAATGCCTACTTGCAAAGCAAAATACTGTTTTGTTGTTTCCTTCTGGATCTTACATTATGTGTCATTTTTTGCTGTTTCGTTCTGTTTGTGTGTAAAATTTCCCCCTTCAGGTTGTGATTTACAAATTTCAATAAAAACTCTCTCTCTCTCTCTCTCTCTCTCTCTCTCTCTCTCTGGAGAGGCAGAGAGATGGTGATTGGTCGAAGGTCACCCAGTCAGCTTTGAAGGGGAGCTTTCTCCCAGATCCCAATGCAGTTCTCTAACCACTACACCATACTGTCGTTTGGGGCTGAGTTGGTGCCAGGCTCTTCCCTCCTTTGCTGTTGTCCTGCCGCTCCCGCTCCTTGGTGCTGCTTCATGTTCTGGTCCTTCCTACTGTTTCAGGTGGCAACGGCAGGGGTTCCTTTGGCGGCGGTGGCCGTTCCACTGGCCGAGGCGGAGCCAGTGGCGCCTGATTCTGGAAAGAGGCAGCTGTGCATGGTGGTTAAGCAGGAGATGGATGCCGTCAACATCAGTGCCCACGGTGAGCGTGGAATGCTGGCCCATGGGAAAGAAGTACTGAATTCAGGCGAATCTAATATGCCATCGAATTTAATGTGCACCTCAGTTTTCAAAACCGAAAAAGTATTTGCTATGTCAGCGGGGTTTTTTAAGCTTGCCGTCGAATCTAATGTGCCGTCAAGTCTGAGGCGCACCCTAATCTTTGCAATGTAACTATTGGAGCAGACCACATACATGGGGAGAAAACAGTAGATCTGGCTGAAAGATGTGCACTGATCATTGCAATGCAGTCCTAAATATTATTGCAGTGGTACCTCGGGTTACAGACGCTTCAGGTTACAGACACTTCAGGTTACGGACTCCACTAACCCACAAATAGTACCTCAGGTTAAGAACTTTGCTTCAGGATGAGAACAGAAATTGTGCGGCGGCAGCGGGAGGCCCCATTAGCTAAAGTGGTGCTTCAGGTTAAGAACAGTTTCAGGTTAAGAACGGACCTCCGGAACGAATTAAGTCCTTAACCCGAGGTACCACTGTACTTCTGTCTTGTCAGGATTCAACCTCATCTGTTAACCGCCTCCAGACACTCACATAGGACCTTCACTGGTTCTGATTTGAAAGAGAGGTAGAGCTTCAGGTATTTGTAGATGGATATCGTGGCTGGGGAGACCCAGCCAGATGGACGGTGTACAAATAATAAATTATTATTATTATTATATTATTATCACCTCTCAGTCTCCTCTTCAGCAGGCCTCTCTCTCTTCCGGCAGGTGACATCCGACAGGGCGAAAACAGCGGGGAAATCCTTGGGCTCCAGTTGCAAAGAGTTGAGCAGCAGAAGCTGGAGGAAAACTTTGGGAATCAAGGTGGGCCGAGGCGGAGAACTAGAAACCACCCGGCCGAGAAGTGGAAGAAGCCCCCCATTCCTTGCCCCGGTGGCGGGTTCCACAACGCCTCCATCTCGGAAGAGAAGCCCATCGAGAAGAGGAAGTACAAGTGCAACGTCTGCGGGAAGTTCTTCAGCTACAAGTCGAGCCTTAAAATACACCTGAGAATCCACACGGGGGAGAAGCCCTACAAATGCCAGGAGTGCGGGAAGAGCTTTATCCGGAGCGACCTCCTGGCGTCGCACCAGAGAATCCACACCGGAGAGAAGCCCTACAGCTGCTCCTACTGCGGGAAGAGCTTCTGCGACCTGTCCACCCTTATCAAACATCGGAGAATCCACACCGGGGAGAAGCCCTACGTGTGCCTGGAGTGCGGCAAGAGCTTCAGCCAAAAGGCGATCCTGAATTCGCACCAGCGGATCCACACCGGGGAGAAGCCGCACAAATGCCTGGAGTGCGGGAACAGCTTCAGCAGGAGCACTTACCTTACTTCTCATCAGAGAATCCACATGGGCGAGAGAACGTACAAAAACATCGGCTTCTCTGAGCAGTCGGGCCTTATTCACCCTCAGAGAATCCACATCGAGGAGAAACCCCATAAATGCCCGGAATACAGCCAAAACTTCAGCCAGCCGTCGTCGTGTGCAACACACCAGAAAATCTACGCGCTGAGCGACACTATCAACGTTTTCGAGTGTGGGGAGAAACTTCAACTGGAGGCGGCGTCTTATGAGACTTCTGAGCGTCCTAGCAATTAGCCTCATGTCTGGTCGCCCGCGGTGATTTGAGCTAATCCAGCAGGGATTAAAAGCCACATTCTTTTTAAATGGCAGCACTGTAAATGCTCCTTCAGTGGAGATGCAGACAGGGCAGGGGGCGCGATTTTATATCCTTTCGCATTCTGTTTTGCAACTAGCTGTAGGGCGGCTGCCAGGTTTGAGAGCAGAGGGAGGGATGCTGAGTTCTCGTCGTTTTCCAGCTGCCCTTCCCATCCCCTGCGCTGGCATTCCAAGTTACCAAGCAGAGGGAAAAGCCATCCCAGCCTTTGCCCTTCGGTCGGCTTGCGTGTTTGATCTGTCTCAATCAGTTCAGCCAACTGACCTGTAAAATATTAGTCATGTATCGTCAGATAATGATCAAGTACAGTGGAACCTTGAGTTACATACGCTTTAGGTTACATATGCTTCAGGTTACATACGCTTCAGGTTACAGACTCCACTAACCCACAGATAGTACCTCAGGTTAAGAACTTTGCTTCAGGATGAGAACAGAAAATCGTGCTCCAGCGGCGCGGCGGCAGCAGGAGGCCCCATTAGCTAAAGTGGTGCTTCGGGTTAAGAACAGTTTCAGGTTAAGAACGGACCTCCGGAACGAATTAAGTACTTAACCCGAGGTACCACTGTATTTGAAAAGGCTAACTTTTCATTAGAGCCCCCCCCTTTAATGACTTTCCCCAACTCTCCAAAGTTACAGCTGTTGAAGACTGCATTCCCTTGCAGATAAGCTTTTTAAATCTTTTTTTTGAGGGGCGCGTGCTGGTATTGGATGGGGGCAAAGAGCCAAAAGTGGGCAGTTTGAAGGGTTGCATAGCATTCTCTCTGCCACCTCATTTCTCTCTCTCTCTCTCTCTCTCTCTCTCTCTCTCTCTCTCTCTCCCTCGCTCCCTCCCTCCCTCCCTCCCTCTTCCTTGTCCCCAGCGTCTGGTGTCCAGAGGTAGACTGCTGTAGCATATGGAGGCTCCATTGGGTCACCCACATCCCATAGAAATTTTGCAGGCTTTCCCTGTCTTTTTGGTCTACAGTCATACCTCATGTTACGTCCGCTTCATGTTACGTTCTTTCAGGTTGCGTCCTGTGGCGACCCAGAAGTACCAGAAAGGGTTACTTCTGGGTTTCGCCGCTCGTGCATGCGCAGATGCACAAAATGACGTCATGCGCAGAAGCGGTGAATCACAACCCATGCGTGTGCAGACGTGCCGCTGCGGGTTGTGTTCTTTTCATGTTGCGAATGGGCCTCTGGAACGGATCCTGTTTGCAACCAGAGGTACCATTGTACTTACTGGGAAAGCTTCTCTCTCTTTTTCTCTCTCATACACCTACACATAATGCAGAAGAGGAAATAATCACAGGAAGGTTAGACTAGAGAGCAAAGACTAGAGTGGGTACACAGAGGGCCAGATGAAATGAAGTTGGGGTGGCACAGCCTTCCCACCGTTGATTTAAAGTCTCACTTGCGACTGTACCCAGTGAGCATCGCTCTAGCCTGTTCCTTCTACTCGCCACCCCCCCCGAGACCCAGTCCCCTGCAAGAGTTTTACGAAGCTGCCAGCAGGATCTCATTCTGGGGCGGGGGAACTTCCTGCAGCAAGAAAGTTAGGGAGTCCTGGACGGACCTTTGACTGATTCCTCCCCGAGATTCTTTTCCTCTTGGGAGATTGCCTGCAGTCCTAACAGGTGGCCAGTAGGAGGCGTGTTGCTGGGTTAATAGTTTGCCCCCCCTTTCCCAAATCTTATAGGTATTGGGGGGGAGGGCAAGTGGCCTGTCCTTGCTAACAACTGACACCCTGGAGTACTTAACAGCTACAATATTTAACAATATTTGGTAAGATGATTATTATTTCTTTGATCATGAAAGTGAAGAGCTTGTAAGAAGGTTCAAGAAGACGCTCACCTGTCCCTGAAAAACCTGGGTTCTCACTTGATGCTGGTGAATCCTGACAGTTTCTGTGTGGCTCTTCTGGAGCCTTTTGAGCCTCTTCGGGTTGGAAAAGCTCTTGTCGCAGCCTGGGCACCAATGTCCTTTCTCCCCTGCTTGGATTCTCTGATGAGATGTAAGGTTTGCACCCAAGAAAAAGCCGTTTCCGAAGTGCAAGCTTTTATTCAGCTTCTCTCCTCCTCTGTGGACAATCCTGGTTTCCTTCTCCTCTGCCGCTCCCTGCTTTCCCACAGCCCCTTCACTTGCAATCTCGAAACGGACATTGTCCCTTCTCCTCTTTTATGTTGGCGTTAGCAGAGCTGGGTGGATTTGGCCGTGTCGGTGGGCAGGTTTTTGGCCTACTCCGCAAGGCCTGCGCTTTTCTTTCCCCTCTGCTTGCAAATACATAATGGCCACTCTCATATTCGGGAGAAAGTAAAAATGAGGGATGTGCTCAGGAAGATGAAAGGACTGGATCTGAATTGCCCCATCAGAGACACCAGCCATTCGGTACTGTGCCTCTTCACCATTTGAATTGCCCCGTCCTGATCCTTGGTCACACCTGCGTGCAACGGAGCGGTCGGCTTTTTAAACATAGATAGGTGATTGGCAGCTTTGCTTTGCTTGTGAAGATGCACCCCTCGTGCTTTTTTTGCGGTCTCTCACAGTGGCCTCCTTGAAAAAGAGGGCTTTGGTAGGGTGGGAGGCAGGGAGCCCAACAGCAGGTGGCGCCAGAGCCAACGCAGGCAGATCCTAATCTAATTCTGCTATTCTCCATGCTGAGTCCTACAAAGGGCAATGCTGAGACTGGTTGCCAGGTGCGTTGGGAGGAATTGGGATGGAGGTTGGTGGGGCAAGACGGTGTAGGATTTTCATAACGACAAGGCCCACGAGGCTTCTCTGCGTTGCGAGTTCGCCTTTCTGAGAGGCTGAATTCTTAACCTCCCTTTTCTCTTCAGCTGCTCTTCTGCAGTTGAGATCTTCCTGAACTATAGGCTCCCCCCTCCATGATGCCGTCACAAACACCAATTCTCCTGACCCCCAGCACAGGTATGGCGACCCATCTTCGTATTCCCTTCTGAGAACCTCTTGAGGGGGCCATGTTCCAGTGGTGGGTGGGGCCAGGGGCAAAAGGGGTGGAGCAACAAATACATTTTTGGGGGGCGGTATACTTCTGTACAGTAGGCCCGTTTCCAAGCCCCTCTTCTCTTCCCCCAGCCTGCAAGAAGCATAACCAGAGTGCAGGAACGCATCCCAGCCAGGCAAAACCTCTCCAGGAGACTACGAAGTGGGGGTCAGCGAAGGGGTGGCGTAGGGAGAGGTCCGGGGGGTTTGGAGGGCTGTGTTTGACTTCCAAACCCTCGCCAGCACCTTAGGGATTCCTGATTGTGACACCGAAGAATGGCTCAGAATTTCTCTGCCTTAAAAAGATCATCTCCCCGAGTATGGTAGCTGCGGGGGAGCTATCTTGAGCCGTAAAACGTGTCCCCAACCAAGAATGCTTGCCCATAGTTTTCAGAGACAAGTCTTGATTTCAGACCTTGGCATCAACATGAGGACAGATGGGTCCAGCCTTGTGTTTAACACAATGTGCCTGGTCGCCAGAGGTGAGCGCGAGCTCTGTGCAGGCGAGCAAGCAGGTTGACGGAGGAGGAACGGCTTGTACTTCTGTTCGCCTGCTTGGTTTCCATCCTAGTTGCAGAGGGACAAAACACCTTTCTCCAAACCAGCATGGAAATTCAGAAGAGGGGGTATGGCATGATCTGCCTCTCCTCCAGCAGCCCTCTTGGTTACAAATCACATTATATTTTTTTGCTAGCCTAAGATGCTCATAGGCGGTGTTTGCATCTTGACTGTGGCGGAAATCAAGAGCAGGCTTGGGGTTTTTGTGTGTGTGTTTTGCTTTTTCCCAGGCTAACGATTGTAGTGGGGCTTAGTCGGATCCTGACATAATTATTTTAAGTTCACTATTCGATTGTCAGTTCATGTTTCTCTTGGCAACTGCAGTAGATGTTCTTTTGAGGGAGCTGTTTCTAATCAAGCTTGAAATTTGCCGAATGACAAAGAATTTGATCTCCGACAACTGGTTTGCCCCAAGTGGGGTTACCTGGACTTGGACCTTTTGAGTTCAGGAGCAGTTCTTCGCAAACCTCATTTTGGAAAAACTTGGCACCCATAAAGTCAACCTGTTCAGACTTTCCGGAGATTTAAATTTTATTAAAAGGCAACTTTTGCTTTTGTTGTTGTTGTTTAAATGCTTTCCTATTGTCGAAACTTTTGATTGTGCTTTTCAAATAGTTTTTAAAAATGTACTTTTTTCTAAAAACAAAAAACCCTGTTTTTTAAAAGGTTTTATTAAGTTTGTAACCTAAACTGCTTTCTGCGTGAGAATTGAGATGTGTATGATATTTTAAATATGGTAAATAAAATACCCTGGGTCTCTAGAGATTTGTGTGATTATGGTGGTAGCGTTTTATATATTAAAGATAATGCTGATTTATCTTTTGCTTTCTGCTTGACGTAATGTGCAGTTATATGCAGAACAGTCATAGCTTCCTATGTTCCTAATTTCAAGGTGAGAAGATTAAGCCTTGTGGCAGGCAAACGTGAAAATCCATTTTCAGCGATTGGGTAACAGCAGAACGTTCAGTATTATTGGGGTGGCTCATATTTGGGCAGGTGGGGTGAGGGGTGCCCCCTCTCACTACTGGCAATTTTTGCTTTTTTAAAAAAAACGAACTCTGGTACTTTGAGACTTAGGGTAGTTCAAAAGCAAAAATGGGTTTTCTTTTACAACAAAATGGGTAAAAGAAAATACGATAGAATCGTTTCAAGGAGCAGTAAACTTCTATATATATATTAAATGCAGTGCTCAGAAACGTACTGGGAGCCAATGCAGATCTCTCAGGACCGGTGTTATGTGGTCCCGGCGGCCCCTCCCAGTCACCAGTCTAGCTGCCGCATTCTGGATTAGTTGTTGTTTCCGAGTCACCTTCAAAGGTAGCCCCACTTAGAGATCAGGGCCTCTGCCTATAATCTATCATCGTTATTGGAGAAGAGAAGAGATCCCTGCAGATTGGAGGCAGGCAAGATGTCCCCATCTTCCGACTGGTCAGCTTGTGTGGATACCAGGAAAGATCAAAGAACAGATAATTGAACAGTAGGTCTGTGAGCACTTAGAATAGGGTTACCAGATGTCCCCAGTTCCCGGGGACAGTCCCCAGATTTGCAAATCTGTCCCTGGGAAACGTGGCAGCCGCAGCCTCAGCAGCCTGGTAGTGCAGTTGGCTCTGGCTGGCTTCAGGAGCTGCTCGCTGCTGTGGTGCAGGAAATATGGCGGACGCCACAGCAGTGAGTAGCTCCTGAAGCCCGCCAGAGCCAACTGCACTACCAGGCTGGCCCCTCCTGGGCTGCGGCTGCCCGCCCGTGACTCCTAAACCTCCCCTGATCTGTCAAAATGAAGGGGGAAGGAGATTGGGGAAGGCTCGGGAGTCACGGGTGGGCGGCACGCCGTTGCCCAGTTTTTAAAAAAAACTCTGCATTTTTGTTTCACAGGGTGCGAAAGAAGGGCTTTGCACCTTTATACAATATGCATGTGTGCTTGGGCCCAGGGTCTTTGGCCTCACCATCCCCACTACTGACACCCTGTTGCTACTCGGCTTCAAAATTTTTTTAAAAAAAGTGTCCCCGGATTCATTGAAAAAAGTCTGGTAACCATAACTTAGAAACGGACACTAAGAGCCCCTTGCCAGCATGACCAGTGCTCAGGGATAGCGGATGCAAGAGTCCAGCAACTACCCGGTTCCTAGTCTAGACTGACTGCCAGCAGCTCTCCAGGATTTCAGACCAATTTGTTTCCAAGCCTTCTGCATGACAAGCAGGCGGTCCTCCCCACTGGCTATGCCCTGTTCTCCTTTCTCTCAGATTCCTCCTTTCCACAATGCCCATAGACCCCAGTTTTGGGGGCACAGCCTACTTTCTTTAGCTTATCCTAGCCCCCTGATCAGTTTCATGAGAACCACCACTTCATTTCTCCTTCCACCATATAGAGGCCTTCCAAACCCAAGTGCTTTGTGGCTTCTTCAGAGTCTCCTCTCTAATAGGGCCTTTCGTTCTTGCTTTTTAATGATAATAATTTTATTATTTATACCCCGCCCATCAGGCCGGGCCTCCCCAGCCTGTGCCCTCCTGATCTTTCCCTCAAGTCCTCCTGGTTCCTGATTCTCAGTCTGTTTCCTAATCTGGAGCCTCCCCTCAGCTAAACAGCCTCTGCTCCCTTGCTCCTTAATTTTTTTACACAGTGAGAACCGTTCCCCCTCTTTCAGCGCTCGTGTGAGATTCTTTTTTTAAAAAATCCCAGCCAAACTGATAGCTTACCCTTCCCTCACAGGGTCTGGACAGACAGCAAATCTTGAGACAACTTCATTCCCTTAGTAGTCAGCACTCAGAATTCTCCTGAACCAGCTCAGCCAATCAGTGCCAGAGGCTGCCCTGATGTAAGAGCAATGCAGTATGAACAGCCCTATTATTCTGGCCCCTCTGCAGAGTCTCTTTTTGTATTGTGAAGAGGATGTTTTCCCGATCCAATGGGAATGAGCAACTTGGCTGCAAAGCAGGTGCCTCATGGCCGAGTGTGAGTGGAAATCCTTGTGCTCTTGGGATAATAATAATAATAATAATAATAATAATAATAATAATAATATATTATTTATACCCCGCCCATCTGGCTGGGCTTCCCCAGCCACTCTGGGCGGCTTCCAAAAAATGAATAAATTAAAATACGATCTGAATATAGTGGGATTTGAAAAGCAAAGAAAGCTACTTTGTTCAACAAATGGTTTCCTTTTGAGAATTAACACTGCTTTGTATACAGCTGCAATTTAATTTCTAAGCTGTGTCTCTATTGCTCTTTACAAGTGGAAACCTAATAAAAATATAACAAGGAAAGAACAGTACATGTATTTGGAAACAAGGACTAACACAAAATGCTAATGGCAAAGTCACACAACCTCACCTTCATACTATGCACGGTCTAATGGTGTGCATGTTTACTCTGAAGGAGGACACTCAAATATGTCCAATGGGGTTTTGGAAGAGAGAAGAAATTAGTTCAAACCACACTTTTTAAGTGATCTGACCTAATTCATCACTCCGGGACTTAAATGCATACCAGAGCACAGCTATGGACGCCTCTAATTTTTTAAAATGCAATTTTGGTTGGTTTGTTTGTTTTGAAGGGTACTAAATGCATATTTTAGGGGGAACGGGTATTGGAAAGCATACCAGGGGAAAATGAGATTTTTAGAGGGAGTCAGTGCCTAAAATGCATACAGTTTAAAATGTGAATTTTTCCATGCTTAAAAAAAAAATCTACAAAAGACAAGAGCTATTAATGAGTGTGTTCGAAACTTGACATGGATCCATCCGTCCATTACTCTCCAGTAAATGTGGATAAGATGCCCACGTTGGAGGCCCTTTGAAATCCATTGGCTTACAGAGACACACACACACACACACAAAAAAAACACTTGCATTGGACGGGGCATTGTTGGGGCGTGTGTGTGCATAACACAAAGTCTCTTGCTACCACATGCAAGAGAGAAAAGAGACAACAGGACCTCCCTCAATTAATGGGCGGGGGGAAGGCACCTACATCAGCCGTTCACAGTGCTTGCTCACAGAGAGAAACTCTTTGCACCTCTCCTCTGTTCAGAGCAGGAAGGAGGGCAGGTGTTTGTCCTAGCATCCAATGAAATATGGACATGTCTGAAGTGGGCATGTTCAATGTAGGAGAGGCTGAGACAGTACAAACAGCAACTGAGCAGGAAGAACAAATAGTGTCTCCTACATTGCGGATTTTTGAGGGGATATTTGGTGAGACCCTTCACAGGCGCCATAAAGTTGAAAGGTAAAGGATCCCTGGATGGTTAAGTCCAGTCAAAGGCGACTGTGGGGTTGCGGTGCTCATCTTGCTTTCAGGCTGAAGGAGCCGGTGTTTGTCCACAGACAAACTTTAAGCAGGACTAAACCACTTCTGGTGCAACGGGACACCATGACGGAAACCAGAGCGCACGGAAACGCTGTTTACCTTCCCGCTACAGCAGTATCTATTTATCTACTTGCACTGGCGTGCTTTCGAACAGCTAGATTGGCAGGAGCTGGGACAGAGCAACGGGAGCTCACTCCGTTGCAGGGATTCAAACTGCCAACCTTCTGATCGGCAAGCCCAAGAGGCTCAGTGGTTCTGGTGGACACACGGGCCCCCATGGACACCATGTTGGCAAACCTTGCCCTAGGCAGTTGACATGAATTAATAATAATAATAATAATAATAATAATAATAATAATTTTATTATTTATACCCCACACAACTGGCTGGGTTTCCCCAGCCACTCTGGACAGCTTACAGCATATCTAAAAACATAGTAAAAACATTGATCCATTAAAAACCTCCCAATACAGGGTTGCCTTCAGATGTCTTCTAAAAGTTGTGTAATTTTTTTATCTCCTTGACATCTGAAGGGAGGGTGCTGCTACCAAGAAGGCCCTCTACGCAACTATCTAGGTCATTACAAACTAATTAATGGAAACATGCAGTTAAAAACCATCCAACTGAGTAATTATAAAACCACAAATGAGTCACCAGCATTAAAGAGGTAGTCCCGCAAAGGAGCAACCACGGAAGAGACCCAGCTGTTCAGCTCTCCCAATCCAAAAGATGGTAGGAGCAGAACCTCATCTGCTACTCTAAGAGTATGGGGAAGTTAATATGGAGGCTTCACCTCCTGTGTGAATTCTCTGATGCCGAATAAGATTTGTGCTCTGGCTGAAGCTCTTTCCACACGCTAAGCATTTATACGGCTTCTGCCCTGTGTGAATCCTTTGATGTTTAACAAGGCCTGATTGGTCGCAAAAGGTCTTGCTGCAGTCCGAGCATTTATATGGTCTCTCTCCTGTGTGGATTCTCTGATGTGACGTAAGGTGCGTACTCTGACTGAAACTTTTCCCGCACTCCAAGCATTTATATGGCCTCTCCCCTGTGTGAATTGTCTTGTGGTTAATAAGGCCGGACTGATTACAAAACCCCTTCCCACAGTCGGAACACTTGTACGGTTTCTCCCCGGTATGGATTCTCTGATGTGATGTAAGGCTCGTACTATGGCGGAAGCTCTTTTCACACTCGGCGCATTTGTACGGTTTCTCGCCTGTGTGAATTCTCTGGTGTTGAATAAGGCTAGTGCTCTGGTTAAAGCTCTTGCTGCAGTGCGAGCAACTGTATGGCCTCTCCCCTGTGTGGATTCGTTGATGGGACGTGAGGTGCGTGCTCTGACTGAAGCTCTTTCCACATTCCAAGCATTTATACGGCTTCACCCCCGAGTGGAGCATCTGATATTCCGTGACGCTTCTGTGCTGGCTGAAGCTCTTCCCAAACTTTAAGCTTTTGTTGGTTTTCTCCCCTGTGTGGATTCTCCAATGTGCACTGAGGCACTTGCTCCTCCTCTTCTCTGCTTGTTGTTCTTCTTGAACTACGATTTCATGGAAGTCTCCGTCCTGGCAAGAAATGGCTTTATCTCTGCCCTTCTCCACGTGTATTCCCTCTGGCCTCTTTGATCCATCTTGATTCCAGAAGTTCTCTTTCAATGCCTCCTGCTGGCCTGCTTCTGAGGAGGTCCTGCAAGGTTCACCTTCATCTTCGCTCTCCCATACACCACCATCTGAAATGAAGAAAGAAACCTGATAAAAGCCATGAATGAATCATTCAAAACCAGGAATCAATCAGTCAGTCAGTCAATCAATCACAGACCTCCTTAATAATATTCAGAGAACAGGAACGTTCTTTCTTTTTTTAATTTTTTAAAAAAATTTTCTAGGGCCATGCTAATCTTCTCTGTATCGTTCCAATTTTAGTATATGTGCTGCCGAAGCGAGCACAGAACAGGAACGTTCTTTCATATGGGGTGGACTCGTAAAAGGTTAAAAGAATATTGGGAAATGATACATAATGAATTGGGAAAAAAAATGTTTAAAAGTACTTTCTCCAAAAACCCCAGAGTCCTTTCTATTCAGGATAATTCAGATGGAAATTCCCAGGTGTCAAAAAAGTGGTATATTTATGTATGCCACTACTGCAGCCTGCGTTTTGTTAGCCCCAAAATGGAAAACCAGCGAGGTCCCAACCAAAGAAGATTGGCAACTGAAGTTGACCGAATATGCACAACTTGCAGACTTAACATATAGAATAAGAGAATAAGTTTTGATGGATGCAATAATGGAATACTGAATGGCATAGTTTTTGTAAAATATCTTAAGGATGTAAAAATGAGTACTTTAAATCGTAAAACAGAAATTTAATATTATATATTGGAAGGGAGCCAAAGGGTCATCTAGTCCAACCCCCTGCAATGCAGGAATCTCAACTAAAGAATCCACTTTGAATGTGGCCTGGGTTCTATTCAGAGTGGACACATTGAAACGAATGAGTTCATTTGGGCCGCAGAGCAGCGGAGGATCGCATCCCACAACATCTCCACCAGGATGCCACTTTAAACAGCCACAGCTTCCCCCAAAGGATTCTGGGAGCTGTAGTCAGTTAAGGGTGCTGAGAATTGTGAGGCAACCCTTTCTTCCCCTCAGAGAGTTACAATTCCCAGAGTTCCTTTCTTGTGTGTGTATATAATTTTATTAAGTTTTCTGTTTTACAATTAAAAATACTCATTTTACATCCTTAAGATTTCCCTTCTTCTCTTTCCATGGTTCATTTTACATATCATAAATCCCTGCATATTTTACAAAAACTATACCATTCAGTATTCCATTATTGCCTCCATCAAAACTTGTCTACACTGTTGAATTTATCTTAATGCTGCCAGCGTTTTCAGCTGTACACAGTTATTTCCCATATATTCAATCAACGTTTTCCAATCTTCTCTAAACATATGTTCTTCTTGTTCTCTTATTCTATATGTTAAGTCTGCTAGTTGTGCATATTCTGTTGACTTAAGCTGCCATTCTTCTTTAGTTGGGACCTCACTCGTTTTCCATTTCTGGGCTAACCAAACAGGCTGCAGTTGTTGCGTACATAAATAACCTTTCTTGACACTGGGAATTTCAGTCTGAAAATTCCCAGAGTTCCTTGTGAAGATGGTCAAACTACTCTGGGAATTGGAAGAGAGGCCTTCTAACAACTGTCTCTTCGCAAACTGCAACTCCAACAATGCTTGGGGAGCGGAGTCATGAATTTAAAATGAAAGGATACTGCTTTAAATGTATAATGCAGATGGGGCCGTAGGCTCCAGAGATAGAGAAGCGGAGAGTAGCTTCTGGAGGTCAGCCCAGCAGGGAATGTCAAACTATCCAAGGCACACATGGAAAACCCTCCTCTCCTCACCCAGCAGGTCCTCCTCGTCCTCTTCCTTCTTGGCTGCTGCATGCAGCTGCTTCTCCCCAGCCTCAGGTGGCGATTGGCCAGAAATGGAGGAATGTGCAGCTGCCACCACCACCTCCTCCTCCTTCTCCTCAAAGACCACCTGCAACAAGCAGAGCATCTCTCTTGCATTAGTATACCTGAAGGAGCGTCTCCACCCCCATCGTTCTGCCCGGACACTGAGGTCCAGTGCCGAGGGCCTTCTGGCGGTTCCCTCCCTGCGAGAAGCCAAGTTACAGGGAACCAGGCAGAGGGCCTTCTCGGTGGTGGCACCCGCCCTGTGGAATGCCCTCCCACCGATGTCAAAGATAAAACAACTACCAGACTTTTAGAAGACATCTGAAGGCAGCCCTGTTTAGGGAAGCTTTTAATGTTTAATAGATTATTGAATTTTAATATTCTGTTGGAAGCCGCCCAGAGTGGCTGGGGAAACCCAGCCAGATGGGCGGGGTATAAATAATAAATTATTATTATTATTATTATTTATTATGGTTTGCTTGCGTCCTCCACCCTGCCCTTAGCGGCCTCATTGGCATTCAGAGGGGAGGACTCAGGACTCAGTTTCATTAAAGCATGTTTAGGTGCAAGACGGACCATGCAATAAAATGTTGCCGCTCAGGAGCGCTCTTGTTCAGGATGCCGGCCAGGCCCTTTTCCAGCCATACCGTTCCATCTCGTCCCCAGGTTCTCTGCCCTACTGCCAGTCAGCATTCTGCGCCCACTGAGCACGCTCAGTCTTCTTGGGACTGGTTTTCCCCACTTCTGTACTACTGCAAAACTAGAGGTTCCTCTGCGGCCCACCTGCCCATCGTAGAATCATAGAATGTTAGAGCTGGAAGGGACACCAAGGGCCATCTAGTCCAATACAGGAATCCTACCCACAACCAGCCTTGGGTGGGCTCAAACCACCAACCTTCTGTTCAATAGTCAGATACACTGAACAAACCTTATGAGGAACGGTTGAAGGAGAAGGGTATGCTTAGCCTGGAAAAGAGGAGGCCGAGAGGAGACATGAGAGCCATCTTCAAATACTGTCATACCTCGGGTTACAGACGCTTCAGGTTGCACGTTTTCGGGTTATGGACACGCCGAAACCCGGAAATACCGGAACGTGTTACTTCCGGGTTTTGGCACTCGCACATGTGCAGAAGCACCGAAAGAATTCATGCGCAGAATTCCTGCTCCATGATTGCAGTCATAGGATTGTTGTCTTTCACATGACAGTATATGTTTTGACTCCAGAGTGGGATGTGTTGGAGGCAGGATGATTGTGTTACTGTGTTCCATGAAGTGGGACTATTGTCCTTTGTTCTTTTTCTCTTTGCTGTCTGATGCTAGAGAGAGAGGGAGCCATGTTGCAGTGCTCCGTGTGTGTGTTTATATGTAAATAAAGTAGATTAGCCAAAATGCTGAGCTGCTGAGGTCTGTCATGCAATGATGCAAAGACTCTGCGGATCCCTAAGTGTGTTGTGTCAGTTGGCATCGGTCGCTGTGATGTTCGGGCTGAAGAAAACTTTGAAGCTCCCGAACGATTGATCAGGAGGGAGAGAACATGTCAGTCGGGCATGTGTCTCTGCCAGAGTCCTACTCGAGTGTAGGCTGAACTCCTCACAGGATCATGTTTGCAACCTGAGTGTCTACTGTATCTCAAGGGCTGTCACATGGAAGATGGAGCATGCTTGTCTTCTGCTCTGGAAGGCAGGACTCGAACCCATGGCTTCAAGCTCCAAGAAAGGAGATTTCAACTAAACATTAGGAAGAGCTTTCTGACAGCAAGAGCTGTTTGGACAGTGGAACGGTCTCCCTCGGGAGATTGTGGACTCTCCTTCCTTGGAGGTTTTTAAGCAGAGGTTGGACGGCCATCTGTCCTGGATGCTTTAGCTGAGATTCCTGCATTGCAGGGGGTTGGACTAGATGACCGTTGGGGGTCCCCTTCCAACTCTACAATTCTATATGATTTCCTGATACCTTCCTTCTTCTGTGTGCATGGTAACTACATAAGGTTTTTCCTGAGTAAGGGCTGGCAGTCGGGTTGGCTCCTAGCGTTTAGGAACTGTAAGGGGATTCCTTCTGTGGCCAGCTTTGTTGCTGAGTTGCAGAACCCAGCCATGCAACTCGGAATTGGACACCATGAAGCCCTAAGGGGAGCCTGGATCAGGCCAAAGGCCTGCCTAGTTGAACATCCTGTTGTCACAGTGGCCCAATGGGAAGCCCACAAGCCGGACTAGGCCAGGCCACCAATACTGACACTAACCACAGCCAAGTGGTCCCACCTGGCTTTCCAGACTGACCCGAGTCTCCTGCTGCCTCAACAGGAAACCTTCTGCCAGGGCCACCGCCTGGGAGCAGGTCTCCGGGCCACGATCCCTGACCCAGCTCTGGATCTCCGCTGGCAGGATGGCCAGGAACTGCTCCAGGACCAGCAGCTCCAGGATCTGCTCCTTGGAGTGCCTCTCCACTTTCAGCCACCCCTGGCAGAGCTTCTGGAGGTGGCTGTAGGCGCCGCTGGGCCCCTCGGCCTCCTGGTAGCAGAAGTGCCTGAAGTGTTGGCGCAGCTTCTCTCTCCTCAAGGCGTCCCCTCTCAAGATGGCTGCCTTCACTTTCCCATAATCCTCTCTGTCTCCGGCATCCAGCCTCTCAAAGGCCCACTCGGCTTCTCCCCTGAGGGCCGGCAGGAGTCGGGCCGCCCACTCCACCTTGGGCCACCGGCAGGCTTGGGCCACTTGCTCGAAGGAGGCGAAGAAGGCCTTGGCGTCGTCCCAGGGGGTGGGCTCCTCCGGCAACTGGGGGGCTCCCCATTCCGAGTGAGGGGACTCCACTGTCCTCAAAAACTCCTGCCACTGGGCTTCCCAGCAATGGGCCAAGCCCTCTTCCGATTCCTCCTTCACGCGATGTGGGGTCCCCCTTTCGAGGAACCCCTCGGCGTTCCCCGAATGCCTTGCTCTGGGGAGTTCACCCTGTGCCTCCAAATCCATCCTGGGTTTGTGGCCACCAGCATTCAAGAGGACGTGAGCGGCTTTCCCTGTTCCTTCCGGTTCCTCTCTTTCTCCCCGGGCTGCAATATATTCCTCCTCCATCTTCATCCCTGGGTAAAGGTGCGCTGTGGAAAATTCCAGAAGAAACGACAGTGAGCAGGGGCCTGAAAAGCAGAGAGAAAGAAAGTGACAGAGGTGAGCAGTCAGCCTCTTGTAGGGCTGGAATAAATGATCTCTTCCCATTTTTCTTTTCTTTCTTTCTGAGAAATCTGACTATAAGAGAAGATCGTGGTCAGCTGCAGGAGATAATGGGGCTCCTGCGCCTTTGTGTAGAAGCTACAAGCTGCCATGCTTCGTTACTGTTACTGCATTTATGCTGCCTGGAAGTGGATGGGAAATGCCAGAAAGAAAGAAAGAAAGAAAGAAAGAAAGAAAGAGAGAGGCTGAGGAAAGGCTGTAATTCAGTGGTAGAGATCTGCCTTGCACTCAGAAGGTCCCCATGGCAGTGATTCTCAAACTTTTTTCCTCTGGGACACACTTTGAGAATAAAAATTTGCTCACGCCACACCAGGATTATTATTTTTTTAATTGATGGAACAAAAAGAAACAACTCTTAGCAGTGCTTGATTTAAAACATGTAACACAACTACTTTATAACATGATCATGGGACGTACGGAAAGTATAAAACAATGCAGTTACATAAGAGCATCAGTCATTCCCAGAATATAATTCTAAACAAGCCTTTTACATACGCACCTAAGTACGTAGCTTGCTTTTGCCGATAATCTCATTTACATTGGTCCGATTTGAGGCAAACAAACTCTCATCAACACAAATGAAATGTTCAAATGTTTCTTTGATCGTCCTCAGATCTTCCCACCTGACTTGCCATCCTTTCCTGTCACGGCTTTGAGAACCTACTTCATGGTATCTCCAGGTAGGGCTGGAGAAAAGACCGAAACCCCAGGAAAGCTACTGCCTGCCAGTGTAAACAATACTGGGCAAACGAGACTTTTAATCTCAGGGTTATGGGTTCGAGCCCCCCCCCCCCAACATTGGGCAAAAGATTCCTGCATTATAGGGGGGTTGGAAGACCCTCATGGTCCCTTCCGACTTTACGATTCTATGAACTGGGCTGACTCAATATAATAACAATAATTTTATTACGTATACGCCACCCATCTGATTTGGCTTGCCTCAGCCACTCTGAGTGGCTCCCGACAAAATACAAAAAGCACAATCAAACATTAAAAGCTTCCCTTATACAGGACTGTCTTTACTATATAGCGTAGTCCATGGATAGGCAAACTAAGGCCCGGGGGCCAGATCCAGCCTATGGACTGTCCAGGAATCAGCGTGTTTTTACATGAGTAGAATGTGCCCTTTTTTAAAAAATGCATCTCTGGGTTATTTGTGGGGCATAGGAATTCATTCATTCCCCACCCCAATATAGTCCGGCCCCCCATAAGGTCTGAGGGACAGTGGACCGGCCCCCTGCTGAAAATGTTTGCTGACCCTTGGCACTGTAGCCCCCCAACATTTCTCCAATGAAAATAAAAAAGCGGGACATTGTGGGATCAAATCAGAAACTGGGACGGCTTCTCTAAATCCAGGACTGTCCCTGGAAAATAGGGAGACTTGGAGGGTCTGATATAGGCAGCAGCTTCCTATGGCTGAACTGGGGGGGGGGGAGGCACTGCTCCCCATTATCCCCGACTGAACCAGCCCCAATCCTGCATTTGTGCAAAGCTCTTGCTGGATCTGGAAGGGGCTGAGTGGGAATAATAATAATAATGATGATGATGATAGGTTTGTCATTGCTCAATTCTAATAATGATAATGATAATAATAATAATTTATTATTTACACCCCAGCCACTCTGGGCGGCTTGCAACAGAATAATCCTGTGTGTCGTGGGGGGATCTGAAGGAGCTTCTCTGTCTCCCCTCCCTCATTTTCTACCCCTCCTGCTGCTTTGCCCCCCTTCCCTTCCAGATGACCCCCAATTCTCCCTTCCCAGTCCTTTTCCGGCCCCCCCCCCCCGCCAGCTCCCTTTAGCTATTCACCTCCTTTCTGGGCCTCTCCGCTGCTTCCGCCTCTTTCTCCAGTCTTCCTGCAGATGCAAAGCAAGGCAATGCAGCCCACTCCCCCTTTTCCCCACTACAGGAAAAAGGGCAATTTGCTAATCCCTTTCCATCCCTCTCGCCTGTCCTCTCTAGGAAGTAGGAGGGGAAACTCCTTCAGCTTAACCCTTTCGGGGCATCGATGTCTTAAAAAAAAAAAGCAAACCAAAACTAGGACATTTGGATTATTAAAAATGTCAAAAGTCCCTGGTGTGAATAAAAAAACCCTGGTGCTTTTAGGGACATGAGGGAGAGTGCACCTGGTTGTTTATAGAATCATAGATTTATAGATTTGTAGAACTGGAAAGAATTGCTGTTAGCTGCCCTGAGCCCAGCTCCAGCTGGGGAGGGCGGGATATACAATTTATTATTATTATTATTATTATTATTATTATTATTATTATACCTAAGGGCCATCTTTCCGCAGGACCTGCAAGACAGAGCTGTTCCACCAGGCCTTTGGTTTGGACTTAGTCGGACCCTTATGTTTCCCTCCCCTTCTGGTTTTGATCTATGGGCTACTTTTAAAATGAGGCTGCAATGGATAGGTTTGATCTTCTTGCAGTCCATGGGACTCTCAAGAGTCTCCTCCAGCACCATAATGTAGAATTAACTAATCCAAGGTCTCTAATTGGAGTAGGCTTTCCCTCTCCCTTTTATTTCATTGTTGTCGGTATCTGTCCGTCTCAATAGACAATGGAGTGCGGCTGGGGGTGTGTGTGTGAAGTCAAACCACTGTGTCAGCAGCGCAAAAGTGACCTCCACAGGGTACAAGACTGGGCGGTGTGTCTGGAGGTCCTGGGCTGCTCAGACGACAAGACCCCCCCCCACTCGGCCTTGTTGATGTGGTCCAAAGGAAAGCAGAGCAAGATGTTGGGCGCCCGTGCAGGGTCTACTCCTTAGGCTTTTCTTCTCCTGAAGATAACCCACAAGGCAGCGGAGAATTAGGATCAGAGTTTTTCTTCTCCTAGATGGACTATTTTCCCAGATGGATGAGGCCCATCTGCCCCTTTTATATTAGAATACAGTGGTACCTTGGGTTAAGAACTTAATTCGTTCTGGAGGTCCGTTCTTAACCTGAAGCTGTTCTTAACCTGAAGACCACTTTAGCTAATGGGGCCTCCTGCTGCCGCTGCGCCGCCGGAGCACGATTTCTGTTCTCATCCTGAAGCAAAGTTCTTAACCTGAGGCACTATTTCTGGGTTAGTGGAGTCTGTAACCTGAAGCGTCTGTAACCTGAAGTGTCTGTAACCCGAGGTACCACTGTATTCATTATTTTAGGCTACGTCTCTCAAAAGTATTGTTCCCACCTTGTTTAATTTATCCTGCCATTTTCCTTCCGCACTCGTCTTGTACTTTGGCTCCATTCCTACTCTGCGGTTAAAGCGCTGAGACGCCACTTTTAACAGCCATGGCTTCCCCACAAAGAATTCTAGGATCTGTCATCCGCTGAGAGTTGTGCTACAATTCCCAGAGTGGTTTAAAAACCAGCCCTCTCTTTTCAGGGATCTCTGGGAACTGTAGCTCTGTGAGGGGAACGGTGTTCTCCAGACAGCTCTCAGAACCCGTAACGAACTACAGCTCCCATGATTCCTTGGGTGAAGCCATGATGATGGAAGTGGCACCAGGGCACCTTAAATGTATGGTGGGAAAGTTGCTGTCCGAGGTTCTCTGCCCCAGATCTTGAGGCAGAGCCAGCCTGCGCACCTGATAATGAAGTCGAGTTAAGGAATGCAAACCTTTCTGAAGCTGCCCTGAAGGTGAACAATTTGTGAAAGGGATAGAACCACAAGTTCTTTCGTCAACTCGGGTCAGGGTTGCCATCCGGTGGGAGAACCAACAAAATGTGTGGGATTTCAAGGCTGATTGTCTAAAAAAAGCTGAAGAAGTTTCCTAAATATAGAAAGGTCAAGAACTTTGAGTTTCTTTTTCCAAAAAAATAATAATAAAAAAATCAGGAACTTTTGTATCTTCTAGAAATACGGCAATCCTAACTTGGATACAATTTTAGTTTCAAACAAACGGAAGAAACAAGAGCACAAAAGCTTATTCAAAACCACCAACTTTTAATTCTCCCCCCTCCCCTCGTTAATGTAATGTCGAATTGATAGTCAAATGGGAAAAGCAAGAGGGTCAGTGCCTTGGAATAAGCCATTTGAGGAGAGAGCCTGGGGTGGGAGAGAGCAGGAAGGGGTCATCTTCCTTCTCAGCGATGGTCTCTGCTGGGGACGGAGGTGGCTGTAGTCTGTTTCATGAGACACAGAAGGAGGGGGCACTTTGTTGGTCTCTCCCCACCTTCTCAGGAGACGAAGTCACTTGCCTCTTGAGACCCCCGATTTCAAAGACCACCAACCGGTCAACTGTTGAGGCGAGGGAAAGAGAAATAAATAACCAAGATGACAGGAAGGAAGAGGGTTAAGATAAAATCCGTTCTGCAAGACTTTAGCAGGTAATGTTCACAACCACACACTATGGTACCACTTTAAACAGTCACAGCTTCCCCCAACGGATTCTGGGAACTGCAGTTTCCTTACAGGTACTGAGAGTCGTAAGGAGAGACCCCTACTCCCCTCACAGAGCTACAATTCCCAAAGTTCCCTGCAAAAAGTAACAATACTTATTGGCTTATCTCTCATGACTGTTGTCAGAATGACTAGTTAAATATCATTAGGCCTATTAGGTAGTTTTTTAAAGCTCTAAATTAGAGATCCGAATTACTGTCCTGCCTCACATGGATGTTGTCAAGCTGACAACCTTGGTTAAAATAATAAAATATAAAATATAAAAATGTGTTACATCTTACTGGCCTCTCAGGGTTGATGTCTACTATGTAATATTAAGCTCATTAAGGAATAAAAAAAGGTCCAAATTACATGAATAACAATAATTACTGGCCTACCCCTCAGGGTTGTTGTCAGCCTTACCAGCCAAGGAACATTAAGTGCTAAAAACAGACTAGACAAATGCGAGTGAACGCTGTTCCATTATTCTTACATGGGCCACTCAAGTTCCCAGCGGTGCCCCTCCTGGTTGTGGTGCTTGGCTACTGGTTCATAGGACCTCACAGAAGGCTTGTTTTTCCTCGATTCCGGGTGTCCCCCTCGTCTGTTAGCAGGAGGGGCCTTGTACCTCCATGTCGTCCTCATCATCTTCCTCACATCTCTCCAGCTCACGCCTCCGGGCTCGGTAAGAAGCTGAAAGGGGACAGAGGGAAAAGGCCGTTTCACTGTGGACCATGACCTCTCACGGTCACCACACTGGGATACACAGGGCTGGGCCCCTGCCACGACCCCCATTATGAAGAGCCAAGCGGGGAACCACGAGAAAACGTTACCACCGGAATGGAGTGCTCTGGTTGTGGTGTTCAGCCAGCCACGCCCTCCTTCAGTACTCCATTCCGCCTCTTTGCCAACGGACACTGAACATTCTGTGCCCACTGGGCATGCTCAGTCACTATTAACGTACTGGTGGAATCGATGCTCAACATTACCCAGCAAATGGGCAAACTCAGCCTCGGCCCAGTATACCTGAAGGAGCGTCTCCACCCCCATCATTCTGCCCGGACTCTGAGGTCCAGTGCTGAGGGCCTTCTGGCGGTTCCCTCCCTGCGAGAAGTGAAGGTACAGGGAACCAGGCAGAGGGCCTTCTCAGTAGTGGCGCCCACCCTGTGGAACGCCCTCCCATCAGATGTCAAAGAGATAAACAAGTACCTGACATTTAGAAGACATCTGAAGGCAGCCCTGTTCAGGGAAGTTTTTCATGTGTGACATTTTAATGTATTTTTAATCTTTGTTTTTATTTTTAAATATTTATTTTTAAATATCAAGGAAATAAACAACTCACTGACTTTTAGAAGACTTCGGAAGGCAGGCCTGTTTAGGGAAGTTTTTAATGTCTGATGTTTTAGCGTGCTTTTAATACTCTATTGGAAGCCGCCCAGAGTGGCTGGGTATAAATAATAAATTATTATTATATTATTATTCCCCTCCCAGCTGGTCTCCCAGAACCAGGAGAGGTATGAAGAGGGCAGAGCAGAGACAGACAAGGCAACAAAGTCTCAGACTGCTTGGGAGAGGAGGTGGAGACCTTTGGCTCTCACAACTGCCTCACTGGGGCAAGATCTACCGGGATCTGTGTTGCTGTGCTCACTAGCCCTGGCCTCTGGACCTGATTGTTTCTTTGAATGACGAGTTAACGTCACTGACGCCTGCTGCTGGCACCCTCCCCTGACATCAAGCTGCCACTTACCCGGCAGGTGACGGTCCTTGAAGGGGGGGCGTCCCGCCGCGTCCCACACGGCCCGCATCCGGTTGAAATACGGGGGGATGACCGCAGGCTTCTCCCTCCCTTCCGCGGCAGGCCGCCCGGCTGCAAAAAAGTCTGTCTTCAGCTGTTTCCACTTCGATCGGAGCTGGTCGATGTTCCTGACGAAGCCCTGAGCCTGGAGCTGGTCCCTTATCCTCTCCCAGTGTTGGTGCCCCCTCTGGGAGCTGCTACTCATCAGGAGGGCCAGGGCGGGACTCGCTTTGATGCTGCTCAGCAAGGCCACAACTTCCTTCCCTTCCCACCGCTGGCCACGGATGCGGGAGGGAACCATCTTGTGGAGGACGGGGGGTTGGCCGGTGCCGGGGGAGCCCATGTGCTGGGCGCCACCGAAATACAGGCGCTTGTAGGGTTTCTCCCCGGCATGGGTCCTTTGATGGATGAGGAGTTTTGCGCTGCAGAGGAAATACTTCCCGCAGACTTGGCATTTTACCGGCTTCACCCCCATCCGAGTTCTCGTCGGGAGGATGGCATTCCGGCTGTAAGAACCACAGGCGGTCCGTTTCTGGTTGGTGTTGATTCCTACTGGGACTGCAGCCGGGGTTTCCGTGGGGGTCAGGCAACCCAATCCACCGACTTCCTCTGCCATCAGCGTTTCCTGACGGCCCTCTGCTCTTCCCTGGCGCCCTGAGGCATTTTCTTGTGCGCAACACTCGGAAAAGCTCTCCTCTGTTTTCCACACCGATGTCCCATGTGGACATTCCGCCTCAGAGTCTTCCCCGTTGCAGATGGCGACCCAACCTTTGGCTGCTGGAGGAAGGAGGAGAGAAGCCTAAATACACCCAGAGCTTTGAGAGAAACGATACTTGGAAACAGAGGGGGACCGTGGTTATTTGATACAGGGGAAAAAAGCACACTCTTTTGAAAGACCTGGGGTGCAACTTTATACAGTCGTATCTTGGTAGCCGAACGCCTTGGAACTCGTATGTTTTGGCTCCCGGACAATCGGAAACTGGAAGTGAGTGTTCCAGTTTTCGAATGGTTTTCAGAAGCCAAATGCCTGGCGCGGCTTCTGATTGGCTGCAGGAGCTTCCTGCAGCTAATCAGAAGCCACACTTTGGTTTCCGAACATTTTGGAAGTCGAACGGACTTCCGGAATGGATTCCGTTCGACTTCCAAGGTATGACTGTATATTTAACAAGGTGATCCCTTTCATTACAGGCCAGTCAGTCTGACTCTCTAGCCACTAATATGCTTACACTGATAATAATAATAATAATAATAATAATAATAATTGTAATAATTTTGGTTTTGGCATCTGGGAATCAATGGAGGAGTGGGCCTTTGGGGTTGAAGTCAAACTGTTGTAAGGTTGCAGTGCCTGCTGGGGCTGAAGAGACGGATACTACAACGAATAAAAACAAAATTAAACAAATAAGAGAAAGTCGTGCACAAAAGGCTTTCTGCCCATACCCAGCAGGCCAGCTTCTCCGTCGTCATCTTCCTGCTTGGTGTCGATGCAGAGAAGCCTCTGCTTGTTCAGGGACGGACCCCGGCCTTCTTCGGAGGAACTCCCAGCCACCTCTTCAAATGTCACCTGAAAGAGCAGAGAGGAATCCGGTCAAGGCGGAACTGAGATCTGCTCTGAAGAAGATTTTGGTCTGAGCAAGTCCCTCAATTCTCATCAGCAAATTCATATCCGAGATAAATCCATATAACTTAGGGATGGTGGGGGACCTGCAGTCCTCATCCTGTTGTTCTTGGACTGCAATTCCCATTGTTCCCTGAGCATTGGCCATGGGAGTTAGAGCTCAAAAGTATCTGGAGGGAACTGGAGGTTGGGAGGCAAAAAAGATGGACAGAGATCCTAGCTGTTAAAATTGGAAACCCCTCATAGACCTTTTGTGTGAAAATGAATTAATGACATTTGGATTTGAGGACTGAAGATAATGTTTGTTTATAGAAACTTGTGTTGTTAGGTGTTATATAGGAGTGGATGAAGTGAATATTGCTTATATACAGCAGACAGATGAAGAATTGGAAGTTCTTTGGTTTCTGGATAGCTCAGTTGGTTAGAGCAAAGTACTGATAATTCCAAGGTTGCAGATTTGATTCCCCATACGGGCATGTTGTACACTGAAAGAAAATTTTATGAGAATGAGGTACCAGTGGTATTTGACTCCTACTAAGTTAGCAAAAATGTATAGGACAAGTTCAAATATCTGCTGGAAATGTAAAAAAGAAGGTAACTTTTATCATATGTGATGGACGTGTAAAGTAGTAAAAGCATTCTGGGAGATGATATATAATGAAATGAACAAAATGCTTAAAATAACTTTTGTTAAGGAACCAGAAGCTTTTTTATTAGGAATTGCAGGTACCGACATACCAAAGGAGCAGAAAGGCCTCTTTATGTATGGAATAACAGCCGCCCGAATGTTACTAGCCCAGAGACGGAAAGAAGACAAAGTCCCTACAAGAGAGGAATGGCAAACTAAGCTGATGGACTATGCTGAGATGGCAAAACTGGAAAACACAGAAACCAAGAGGATAAAAACTTTACAAAAGAATGGGAAAAATTTATAAGCTGCTTAGGAGACCATTGTAAGCAGATGGAAACAAGAGCAGGATTCTGAGTCCACTTGTAGTGTAAAAATTACTTTGGATAATATGGTATGATTGGAGTATGGATTAATACGCAGTTGTAGATGTTTAAAATGAGACCCCATGAAGGGGATGGGAGGAAATCCCAAGATTCGGAGAATCTCTTTATATAGATATGTTGTTGTTTTTTCTTTTTGTTTATCTGTATTTTTTATTAGTAAACTGATTTTTAAAAAAACGATTCCCCATATGGGAGAACTGCATATTCCTGCATTCCAGGAGGGCTGGACTAGAGGATTCTCAGGGTCCCTTCCAACTGTACAGTTGATTCTTTGAACTTTATTTTTCTTTCTCTCTTTTAATACCTTTTCTGTCTCTTTCTCTTTACCTTTCTCCCTCTTTCCCACCCCCTCTTCTCTCTATGTTTTTATCTTATTTAGATAACGCTTTATCTTATTTAAACGCTTTTATCTTATTTAAACGCTTTAGTTTGGATTTAAAAAATGTATTTCATAATAAGCTTTTATTTCTCTATACAAAGCTAAAGGGTAAAGGGACCCCTGACCATTAGATCCACTCGCGGACAACTCTGGGGTTGCAGCGCTCATCTCGCATTACTGGCCGAGGGAGCCGGCGTACAGCTTCCGGGTCATGTGGCCACCATGACTAAGCCGCTTCTGGCGAACCAGAGGAGCGCACGGAAACCTTCCCACCAGAGCAGTACCTATTTATCTACTTGCACTCTGACGTGCTTTCGAGCTGCTAGGTTGGCAGGAGCTGGGACCAAGCAACGGGAGCTCACCCCGTTGCGGGGATCCAAACCGCCAACCTTCTGATCGGCAAGCCCAAGAGGCTCAGTGGTTTAACCCTAATAAACCTTAGTAAAGTTGATTATTTTAAGAAAAGAAGGAAAAGGTGGCCATATGGCCTCACCTGGCTTTCTTGGCTCTGGGCCACTTCCTGCTTCAACAGGAAGTCCTCGGCCAGGGCCACCGCCTGGGAGCAGGTCTCTGGCCCACACTCCCTGACCCAACTCTGGATGTGGGCTGGGAGGATGGTCAAGAGCTGCTCCAGGATCAGCAGCTCCAGGATCTGCTCCTTGGAGTGCCTTTCAAATTTCAGCCACTGGCAGCAGAGTTCCTGCAGCCGGACGTAGGCCCCTCTCGGCCCCTCGGCCTCCTGGTAGCAGAAGCGCCGGAAATGCTGGCGGATCTTCTCCCGGCTCATGGTGTCCCCTCGCAAGATGGCCGCCTTCACTTTCCCATAATCCTCTCTGTCTCGGGCCTGGAGCCTGCGGAAGGCCCGCTCGGCTTCCCCGCTGAGGGCCGGCAAGAGTCGGGCCACCCACTCCTCCCGGGGCCACCGGCAGGCTTGGGCCACCTGCTCAAAGGAGGCCAGGAAGGCCTTGGCGTCGTCCCATGGCGAGGACTTCTCTGGAAAGGCTGGGATGCCCCATTCCGGATGAGGAGACTCCACCGTCTTCAGGAACTCCTGCCACTGGACTTCCCAGAGCTCAAGGGAGCTCTCGCTTGGCTCTTGCTTGATCTGATCCCCCGGCATCCGTCTCAGGAATTCTCGGATGTTCCCAGCTTGGAGGACGTGAGGGGCTTTCGCCGCTCCTGGAGATCCCGCCTCTCCTGATGTTGGTCCTGTGGGGGTCTGTTCCCCCCTTTTCATATTTGAGAGGGTTCACGGAGGAGCGAACAAAAACCGAGAGGAAAATTCCAGAATAAATTCCGGTGATCGGCTGAGGAAAAAGAGGGGGAAAGGTCATGAGAGAAAATGAGCACAAATAAAGGACTGACAACAAACTTGGAGGGGTAGCTAATGCCGCAGAAGACAGAATCAGAATTCACAATGAGCTTAACAGATTGGAGAACTGGGCCCGAGCTAAGAAAATGAATTTCAATAAGGACAAATGTAAGGTTGTCCACTTAGGCAGGAAGAACTAGATGCACAAATACAGTCATACCTCATGTTACCTTTGCTTCAGGCTGAGCGTTTGCAGGTTGCGTTCTGCGGTGACCCGGAAGTACCGGAAAGGGTTACTTCTGGGTTTCGCCACTCGCGCATGCGCAGACGTGCAAAATGACGTCATGCGCAGAAGCCGCGAATTGCGACCCGCGCATGTGCAGACGCGGGTTGCTTTCTGCTCATGTTGTGAACGGGCCTCCGTAACAGATCCCGTTCGCAACCAGAGGTACCACTGTATAGGATGAGGGGACACCTGGCTTACTAGCAGTACATGTGAAAAGGATCTAGGGGTCTTGATGGACCAAAGCCTAACATGTGATGCAGCAGCAAAAAAAATGCCCATGTTATTCTAAGCTGCATTAACAGAAGTCTAGTGTCCAGGTCAAGGAAAGTCTTAGTCTCACTCTATTCCATAGCTGTCAACTTTTCCCTTTTCTTGCGAGGAATCCTATTTGGAATAAGGGAGTTTCCCTTAAAAAAAGGGAAACATTGACAGCTATGCTCTATTCTGCCTTGGTCAGACCACACCTGGAATACTGTGTCCAGTTCTGGGCACCACAATTTACGAAGGACATTGACAAGCTGGAAGGTGTGCAGAGGAGGGCGACCAAGATGATCAAGGGTCTGGAAACTCAGCCTTATGAGGAATGGTTGAAGGAGCTGGATATGTTTAGCCTGGAAAAGAGGAGACTGAGAGGAGATAGGACAGCCATCATCAAATATCTCAAGGGCTGTCCCATGGAAGATGGAGCAAGCTTGTTTTCTCCTTCTGTGGACGGTAGGTACCGAACCAATGGCTTCAAGTCGCAAGAAAGAAGATTCCGACTAAACATCAGGAAAAAAATTCTGACTCTAACAGCTGTTCGACAGTGGAACAGACTCCAAAGGGAGGTTGTGGACTCTCCTTCCTTGGGAGAATTTTAAGCAGAGGTTGGAGGGCCATCTGTCATGGATGCTTTCACTGAGATTCCTGCATCGCAGGGGGTTGGACTAGATGACCCCTAGGGACCCCTTCCAGCTGTACAGTTCTATGATTCTATGCCCTGTATAAGGCAGCTTCTCTTGGAGAGAGACCACCACCTTCCATCACACCCCAGTGATTTTGCTATGTGCGTTGTGCGTTTCTATATCAGAAGGAGGCCTCTCCAGACAAGCAACTTTAGCAAGGATTTACGCTATTCACACACAGAAAAAGAGGGAACGAAATTAACGTTTGCAAAAGGTCTTCCCTCCCAAAAGAGGAGCAGAGTTCGACCCTCCTGAGGTCACCAGGCAGCTTTTGCAACCGGAGAGACGGAGGAAAGTGGTGATGGGAGATCTTATTAAACCTCGATCTTGCAAATCCCTCCACCCACCGCCCAATACCTTTCCCAGGCTGGATCCTGCTCTCCTCTCTTGTTTTCTGCAGCAAAAGGAAATTCAGAAAGCCATCTCAGGACCATCCCAGGGAGCTGGGAGGACTCGCCTTCCTCATTGCCTCTCTAGGAAGCCAGTAGCTCTTCGCTTTTAACCCTTTCCAGTTGGACTTTCCCCGCCACCAACCGGGAAAGTGAGAGGTGTAACCTGCCTGGTTTGGGCTCCAGAGGGAGATAAGGGATTTAAACAAGGAAAGCCGGAGGCGGAGGAGGGCAGATTTTCATTCATTCATTCTTAGCACGGCAGCGGCTCATTAACTCATTAGCTGCCACCAGTCTGGCAACCTTTGTTCCTAGCGGGTCACGATTGGCAGAGATTCAACCGGTGAAGCTTCCCCACGTCCTCCTGAATCGAGGCTTCCAAAGGCAGAGGAACCCTGCCAAGGGGGAAGGTGGCAACCTGCCTGCCGCTTGTGCCTTTTTCTTGTTTAATGGGATCGTCTTATTACTTATTTCAGTTACGGCTGCTTATATTTTAATGAAATTGATGTATTGTGGATTTTGAGTATGCATGCTATGTTTTAGCAGGATAGCTTTCTTGTGTTGTTACAATTGTGGACGCGTACAAGCTAAGGTTTATAGTAGGGGGTTGCTTTAGTGTATATTTAAATTATTGTGGATCTTTATATCTGGATGATTAACTGGGATTGTTTCATTCCGTGTTTTAATTAGGGATGCTTGTGGTTTAATGTTGCATAAATGTCTATATGCTTCTGGTTTAATGATGCATAAATGTTTATAGCTGTAAACAGCATGGAAGCCTACTTTGGCATTATGAGAGATATATTGATTGATTGGCATCTGCCAGTCTCGGAAAACAATGGAGAAGTGAGTTTTTTGGGGTGAAGTCAAACTGTTGGAAGCTCGCAGCGCCTGCTGCGGCTGCAGAGACCAATGCAGGAGAGACATGTTTTGTTGCAGCCAGGGAAGGTGATGGCGTCCAGTTGTTTCTCTTCTCTGCACTCCTCCCAGTGGTCATTTCTCCTCTGGTCACCGCTGTGGATTTGCAGTGAAGTGCAGAGAAGGGAAGGGGGGAAATGAGGGAGCATGTAGGGGTGAGAAACCCATTAGGCATGGGGCACACCTTTCCGTTTTCTCTGTCTCATTTCTGCAGTCTTAAATATAGTTATCCAAATTGCCGCTTCACAGTAAAAGAAAGGAGCTCCTGAAAATCTGTCAGCATTGTAGTGCAGATTTCTCCTACGGCACATTTTTGCAAAGCATGCTTTCGCTAATAATGACATCTTCTCCAGTAACAAGTCTGGATCGGTTGACCAGAGGACTATGTAACTCGGGATAAGGCATCTCCAGCCCCAGTACTTGCACCCCCTTTGTAGTTACCTTTTGCCTCCCTTGCTGCAGTTGCTGAGGCACAATAGCTCAGCCTAGATTTCTGGACTTAAATTTGGCAATGGAGGTCTGGACGCTTCATCTGAAGCACTGCAGGTCTGTGCTTATGTGGTAACCACATTAAGACTGTTAAAATGGCAGAGTATCCTTCGGTCAAGATGGGTATCTAAGTGTAACATGCGCAGGACCGAACCCTGTGGTACCCTATTTCTCCCATCTCTCCAGGATGGCGAGGAACCATTAGTGAGTACTCTTTGGTTGCCTTCCCTGCTGTGCTCTGCGGCAAACCCCCTCTGTATACACCATATTAACCACCACGGGTTATCTGATGGTTTTTGTGTGAGGGTAAACTTAGATCCTTGGAGGTAAACTTAGATCCTCGGGACGTGGGTGGCGCTGTGGCCTAAACCACTGAGCCTCTTGGGTTGCGTTGGTGGTATAGTGGTGAGCATAGCTGCCTTCCACTGAGCCTCTTGGGTTTGCCGATCAGAAGGTCTGGGGTACCAGAAGCGGTTTAGTCATGCTGGCCACATGACCCGGAAAGGTGTCTGCGGACAAATGCAGGCTCCCTCAGCCTGAAAGCGAGATGAGCGCCAGAACCCCATAGTCGCCTTTGACTGAACTTAACCATCCAGGGTTCCTTTACCTACCTTGACCTTACCTTAGATCCCTGGAGACCCAGGCAGAAGTTGAAGAAATAAGAAAGATTTATTTTACAGGACAAAGCTGATAAAACAAAGGACGCATCAGGAGATAATGTTCCTTCGGGAAACAGTTAGCATTAATAATTACACTAAATCGAATGGATGTTACAGGCTTCTAAACAAGGTAGTAAATGCACAGCTTTTTTTAAGTACCATATTTTTCGCTCTATTAGACGCACCAGACCATAAGACGCACCTAGTTTTTGGCGGAGGAAAATAAGAAAAAAAATATTCTGAATCCCAGAAGCCAGAACAGCAAGAGGCATCACTGCGCAGCGAAAGCAGCGATACCTCTCACTATTCTGGCTTCTGGGATAGCTGCGCAGCCTGCATTTGCTCCATAAGACGCACACACATTTCCCCTTACCTTTTAGGAGGGAAAAACTGAGTCTTATAGAGCAAAAAATACGGTAACTACTCTTCAGTTAGATATTACAGGTTTCTAGATTAGATGGTTAATCCTCAGCTTCTTTCAGCATATTTATCCTGTGGGATAACCAGCCTCACATCTGTCTTCACATAAATCTGTCCATCTGTCTTCCCTTAAACCCATTTCTTAGCAGAAGCATCCGTCCCTGCCCACCATACACCTCACATGTGCAATAGGATGCCATGTCTTGGCTTTTGATGAAGCTGGCATCCTGGAAAGCCAGATGTCGCAGAGAGACAGGGCAAGAAAAGTGACATCACCTTCTGCAAAGCAAGGGGAATTAGAGGCAGCTTGGGAGGAGGACAGGTATGCGCTGGAGTGGCTTAGATTGGTCTCAACTAGGGCCAGGGCCTTTTCGGCCGTGGCCCCGACTTGGGGGAATGCTCTGTCACAAGAGACCAGGGCCCTGCGGGACTTGACATCTTCCGCAGGGCCTGAAAGACGGAGCTGTTCCGCCTGGCCTTTGGCTTAGACTTACTCTGACCCCTTATATGGGATTTGGAATATAAATTTTCCCTTGGCTTTTTTACTGGCCCATGTACGACCAGCATGGATAGCTGGCTCGGGTGAATATCTGATGTTTCCTCCCTTTATGGTCTTGATTTATGGGCTACTACTAAAATGAGGCTACATTTTAAGCCGTATTTTAATTAACTCCCCGCCCCCCCAATTACATTGTATTGTAATTTATACTTGGCGTTAGCCGCCCTGAGCCCAGCCCTGGCCAGGGTGGGCGGGGTAGAAATAAAAAAAATATATTTATTTATTTTATTTATTTCCAGTAATTTCACTTCAGTTCCTTAGCTTAGTTGCTGCATAGGTGAATTCTCTAATTTCTTAAACAACGTGGCACTTTCTGTCACGTTACCCAACCTTTTATGAATCCCACTCAAGAGGTATTTCTAGCAATATAACAGACCTTCTTATCTGGTTTGGGATTCTTCTCTTCCTAGAAGATCACTCCCCTCCTAACTGAAATGAGACCCAAGCAGACTGTATCCACACAGCTCCTACTTCTCCTGGCTCAAACTCAGCCCCCCAGTTAACTCCTGTCTGAATACTTTCCCGAGAGAGTACACACCGTCTTTCAGTCTAAACTCAGAGACTCCTTTCACTAGCTGTAGATACTTTTCTCGGAGTGGATGCTACACACAGACCAGAACCAACGATCTCCCTCAAACTATCTGCCCACTCTCTTAGAAATTGCTCCTTTTATTCTCCCTCCCTAAATGCTCCACACACGCACCCCCTCTGGCTAGCTGTCTTGGTAGCCAAACAGACAGAGACTCCCAGCCGCGAGTGGAATTCGGAGGCACTCGGCTCCAGCTCAGCTGTCCGTCACACAGTCCCAGGTCTCTGCCCCTGGCAGCAAGTGACACTTCTTTTTGGCCTGGACTGTTCAGCTGCCCGCACGTCCAGGTGAAACCCCTCTGGCTGCTTCCACTTTGCTGCAGCGCAGGGGAGACTCCAGGATGAAGGCTTAGAGTCACGGTGTCTTCTTCCTCCCGTACTCAATAACCATGGGCTTCCCCAGCAGGATGAAGCCGTTTGCCAGCTGCAGGGCTGCCTGTGCCGTTGAGATACCTGAGACCAAAGAGCGACACAGGATCAGCCCTGGTGGTCCAGCTCCTGGAGAGGAATCCAGAGACCATTGGAGCCTCTGTACTCCATTCCCCGCCCACATCCCAACCGGAAGGCCAGCGTTTGGCTCTGGGGGACATGGAGGGCTGGACACTCACTGGGAAAGGTGAGGAAAGCTTGTCCTCTCATGCGCCCGCTCAGTAGGCGGAATTGGATCTGGGGGCCTCCCTCCTCCTGGAACCTCGCAAACAAGGACAGCAGCTCCTTCATGTTGACGCGGCGGCTGAGGTTCTTCAGGTAGAGCACCTGCTCAGCACCAAAACACATAATGCAGTGTTAGAAACTCAGATTTATGAGCTAATCACCAAATGGCACCTTAAATCTAGGTGGCCGTCACCACCACAGAATGTCTAGTTCATGGAAGAAGCAAAGATCACCAGTGTTGAAGCAATGATTCTTCAACATCAACTTTGTTGGACTGGTCAGGTGTGGGTGCCTGATGATTGTCTTCCAAAGCAACTACAGTGGTACCTCGGGTTACATACGCTTCAGGTTACAGACTCCGCTAACCCAGAAATAGTGCTTCAGGTTAAGAACTTTGCTTCAGGATGAGAACAGAAATCGTGCTCCGGCGGCGCGGCAGCAGCAGGAGGCCCCATTAGCTAAAGTGGTGCTTCAGGTTAAGAATAGTTTCAGGTTAAGTACGGACCTCCGGAACGAATTCTCTATTACAAACTTTAAAATGGAAAGCGTAATGTGGTGGTCAACAAAAGAGGTTCAAAGACTCTCTCAAGGCAAATCTAAAAAAATGTAATTGGGAACCACTGGCCTACGAGTGTTCCAATTGGAGAACAGCCTTTACCAAAGGTGTCATGGACTTTGAAGACGCTCAAACTCAGGACAAAAGGGAGAAACATGCTAAGAGGAAGGCACGCTTGGCAAACCCTCACCAGGATCAATTCCCATCCAGAAACCTATGTCCCCGCTGTGGAAGGATGTGTGGATCCAGAATTGACCTCCGCAGTCACTTACAGACTCACTGTCAAAACTGTTTATGGAGGACAATCTTACTCGGCTACGAGTGATCACCAAAGAAGAGGAGAAGATGATGGTTATTATTAATTCCATTTCTATACCACTTTATATTTTAAAGAAAAAAATCTAAGTGGGTGTCAACATATTAAAACAACATACCGTATTGGCCTGAATATAAGCCTCACTTTCCCCCCAAATTCCGACTGTGAAAAGTCAAAGTGCGGCTTAAATTTGTGACCTTACATAACTTGGCTTTTACGATTTTGCTGCTGAAATAGACATACAGTAAAATGGAATGGGTGTGAGTGCCTTCAGAATTTTAAGGGAGTGGCTTGTATTTGGGCATTGTCTCCCCCTGCTCTTGATTTTGAAAGGTGTGGCTTATAGTCGGGTGCGGCTTACAATACGGTATAAAACAATTCAGAATAAAACAAATTTGTACTTTGGGAAAAGTATTTCAGATCCTTCTCTAAGTGACCCTTGGGATTCCTTCCAACTCTACGATTCTGTGATCTTCCCCCCCCCCCCCCCGGTTTTTCGAGCAACATCTTCATGTCTGGAGAGCTTCCTGGGAAGGTCATTTTCTGGAGCCAAGCTGCAAAAAGAATGGAAGCGCTTTTCCGCAGAATGGCCAGCTGACCCCCTCGACAACCTCTCTGTTACCGACTCTCAAACTTTGAGTTTGTGAAAGAGAGGCTGCTGAAATTAATTGACTGGAGCCATGCGACTCAACTCGGGTCAACTGGACTTGGCTTTTTTAAGAAGGTGGACCCAAGTTACTTCTGGGGTCCTTCTGGGATTTGAGGCCCTGAAGGTTAAGCTTCATTAGTTTCCTAGGACATCTGCCCCTGACCTTGAGGGTTCTAGAACACGAATGGATCCCCTTGGCACCGGGGCAGGGAGGGAAGAGACTCACCTCGCTTGGCTCTCCAGGGCTGTAGGAGGAAAACCGGGGAATCTGGCGGATCTCCTCCTCCGAGAGGCAGTTTTTGTGGATCTCCTCCTCTGGGATAAACTCCACCGGCTCTGTCACCGCCACGGGCACTGGGGTTGGCCGGGGATCTGCGCCCTGAGATGCTGGGGGGCTGATGGAAGGTGCGGGGCTTGGCGAATCTGGGTCACTCTGGGGAGGCAAGGGAAGCCCCTCCGGTCGGCGGCCAAGAGTTGTGCTGAGGTGTGACAAGGGGTCCTCCTGTGTAGCCTCATCTGGGCCAGAAGGGAAACAACAGAGCCCTCTGTGACAGACATTTGCAGAAGGCCACATTGCGAGGTAACATAGGCAATGAAGCACCCCGCCACCTCCCCCGTTGCCTTCCACGCCCACCCACAAGGACTCCAGGGGCCCCCAGCCACGCACCTTGGTGGTACAGAACCCTCAGGAAGGCGTGGCGGTCCGTGCCCTGGAAGAGAGAGCTCTCAATCTCCATCTCTCGCCTGCTCAGCTGCTTGCTGCCTGCAAAGCGCTGGGGCAGCGAAAGGATGCGCCGGCGCTCAGCCATCTTCTCCTCGATGGCCCCGATCCTCTCTCGTATCGCCTCGGGGGCTGCCCCGAGGCCGGGACTCTGGAAGGAAGCCACAGACAGGGGTCAGGTGCCTGCCCCTCGTCCCCCATTCCTTCAGCTTCCTCCGACTCATAAGAGAGCGCTCCTCTGGTGCTGAGAAGGGCTACAATGAGGAGGAATGGTGGGAGCCTCCCCCTCCTCCTGATCAGGATCCTGAATCTTCCCAGGAGCAGGAGGACAGTATAGATTTGGAACAGTGGTTTGCAGAGGGACATAGTTCAGAAGGCAGAAGCTGGGAAATATGGATGGGGAACAGCTAGGAAAAGAAACAGAGAGAGACAGAGAGAGAGAGAGAGACAGAGAGAGAGAGAGAGTTAACATATTTACTGTCTCTGGAAAGCATTCATCCGCTCTCCCCAAGATCAAGAATGGCTGAGACTGTGGCAGAAAAGAAAGCAGAGAGGGTACAAGTTCAGGTTACAAGAAGTAAAAGTGACATGGGTGGCTAGGGACGTAAGGGGGTGGAATTCTTCATTGGGAGCATCACCATTCCTAAGAGATGGGTTCTTTGTTCTCTCACTGTGATCATTAAAGATCATCACATTCACCCAGTGCTATACCAGCTGCACTGGCTCCCGGTGGAGCACAGGATCAGGTTTAAGGTGCTGGTTTTAACCTTTAAAGCCCTATACGGCCTAGGACCCTCGTACCTACGGGACCGCCTCTCCTGGTATGTCCCACGGAGGACCTTACGGTCTTCAAACAAAAACATCTTGGAGGTCCCAGGCCACAGGGAGGTTAGGCTGGCCTCAACCAGAGCCAGGGCTTTTTTGGCTGTGGCCCCGATGTGGTGGAATGCTCTGTCACAAGAGACCAGGGCCCTGCGGGACTTGACATCTTTCCGCAGGGCCTGCAAGACAGAGCTGTTCCACCTGGCCTTTGGCCAAGGCACAGCCTGATACGCTCCTTTGGTAATCCTCACAGAACCCTGGCCCAATGGTTGCCATTAATTTGATTTTGAACTGATTTTAGAATGAATTGATTTTAGAATGCTGTATTATTTTACTGTTGTTAGTCGCCCTGAGCCCGGCTTCGGCTGGGGAGGGTGGGATATAAATAAAATTTTATTATTTATTATTATTAAATGGTAAGAATACTCCTTTTCCTTTGTTCTGCTTACCTACTGCTAAGGGGGGGAGAAAGCCGATTCCCTGAAGCCTGACACCTGGGCCTCATGTATTTCAGCATGGAAGACAGACCACTGCACTGGTGCCACCAATGAAAAGGTCCGGTTTGCGTTACAGCAAGCCTGTCATTATCAGGCCATGGCAAAACAAACTGGCTTCCACCAGCCGATTGCAGTGCCCTTACTAGGCAGCGAAGTGAACACAGTGAAGGACTCCCTGCCCCCTCATTCACCTTATCTGCCAAGGCATGGCTCTTCCAGAACTGGATCTCGGCGTCTGAGAGGCCCAGCTCTCGAAGAGCGGCGGCCTCTTTGTTGCTTTCCTGCAGCGCCTGGAACTGAGGCAAGGTGCAGGTCCCAGCGGCTTCCTCTCCAAAGGGCTTGTAGAGTGCTGCAGGCGCAAAGCAGTGGCGCTTTGACACACACCTGGGAACCAACACGGAGGCGTTAGAAGAGGGCTACCCTGGGAGGCGGCAGGCCAGGCCTCCGGGAAAGAGCCTGCGCCACCGGATCCTGAGAAGGGGGTTGAACTAGATGACCCTTGGTGTCTTTTCCAACTCTACCATTCTACGATTCTCAGAAGACCCGATGGCAGAGGACCCTCATTGGCACACAGCGTCGCCTCCCAGGGAAAGGCCCTTGTCCAAGGCAATGTGCTTCCGACCTTCTTGCGACGACGGACCAAGAATGCTTCCCGCTGCCAGGGACACCTCCCACCCTGACTCTGCCCTTGTGCAGGATCCGCACTCACTGCTCAAAGGAGACAGATGTGTCGAGCTGATGGTGCAGGAGGCTCTTGAGCTGCCTCTGCCCTTCCGTCTCCTGGTCCTCCAGGGGGATGTCATCCCGGCTGTGTCTGCTGTCGATCCTGCGAAGGCGGAGAGGTCAGAAGCAGGGAGCTTAGAACTCAGATAGGATACTTGGCGCCTAATAGCTCCTTAAACCAAGGCTACACTCGCCAAAACAGAACGTCTAGTGCCATTTGGGGGCAAGGCGGTTCTCAAGTCTTATTTTTCAAATGATGGACAGTGTGATTGGTTCTCAGGTGGCTCTAGTAGGTGTGCCTACTAAAATAAAAGCAATTATTTACAACGAAGGCCAGATTGCCCCTCTTTAAAACAAACAAACGAACAAACAACAACAATTTTTCTTACCATTTAAACTGATTTCCCATAAAACAAATTGTCACCAAATTAATAAAAATGTAAAGCTGACCTTGCACCCCACCAGCTGTCCCTCCCCCCTCCATTCCTGCTCCAGAAACATTAGCTTTCCCAACTTTCATTTCAATAATCAATGAAATCAAACATATTTATATTTGCAATAACATTTCATCCTTTCTCCCTGCACACCGTCCATACGAGTACCAATTTCTGCTGAAGACTTCTATATATTATTGTAACCTATCCACATAATAATCAGGTTGAGTAAATTCTCTTTTACCTGTCTGCGATAATCATTCATCAATAATTTTAAATCACTTCCCAGTGAAAAAAAATAATAATATTATTTATATGCCGCCCATCCAACTGGGTTGCCTCAGCCACTCTTGGCAGCTCACAAATCCTTGAACTTGGGGGGCAGCTTCCTTCCCCCCCAAACGGGGTTTTTCCTTTCTCCTTCGCCTCGGAAGCTGCCGGGATGCTGCTGCGCCTTTCGGGGACCCCGCAAACCCCACAGGGCCCCGTCGGGCTGCACCTCACCCCACCCTGACCCCCAAGTAAAGGGGGCAGCAAAGGGGCGCGGGGAGAAGGAGGCGACGCCGGAGACCCACACGCCGCTGTGGGAAGCAGGCAGGGCAGTAGGGGGGATGGCTACCCCCCTCGCCCCACATATGCACCCCAAAACTCCCCTCGGGGGTCGCAGCAACTCCCCGCCCCCCCCGCAGCCCCCCCCACTTACCTCCTCATCGCTTTCAACGGCACCAACGGAAACTCCTCGGACTGCAACTCCCAGGAGGCGCCGCGCGGAGCAGGAAGGAAAGGGAGCGGGGCGGGGCGCGGTGGCTGCTGGGAAATGTCGTTCCGAGCGGGCAGGAGAGGGGAGAGCCGGCGGCGGGCGCGCAAACACACTCTCCGCTGCGACCCCATAAAATATGTCAGGGTGCCGCCGCCCCCCAAGTTGATGGGCATTGCTGGGGGGTTGGACTAGAAGACCTGTGTAGCCCCTTCCAAGTTTACACTTCTTAAAAAAATTTTTTTATGCTTTTCAGGTTTATACATTTCACCAATTTTACAATCATTTTTACATTTCAAAACTTGACTTCCTCCCCCCTCTTCCTGCGGTTCCTAAAATTAATTTTTAACGTCTTCTGCATATTTCATTTCATTACTGCTTTATATTTTTAAGAAAAATCTCAAAGCGGTTTACAGAATATTAAAACATCAATAAAACAAAGCAACATAATTAACGAAAAACTAAAATATTATCTTAAAGATTTCAAAATAAAACATTACAAAGGAGGTCAACTACAGAATACATATTGAACACAAAGTTAACAAATTAACTTAAATATATACGCTTATAAAACTGTAGGTTATTACACTAATCCTGCCAATGTTCTATCTGTAAATATTCAATAATCTGTTTCCATTCTTTTTATTAAAAGTTTTGTTATCTTTATTTCTTAATTCTTCAGGTAAATCTCACCATTTCTGCATATTCTGTAAGTTTTTGTATCCATTCTTCCTTTGCTGGGACTTCTTCTTTCCATTTTGGGGCAAGTAACATTCTTGCCACTGTAGTAGCATACATGAATAAGCTTCTATACAGTTTAGATAGTTCTGTCCCTGTAATTCCCCAAAGAAAATTTACAAACATTGTTTTAAGCATCCTTTTCATTACAGTATAAATAATTTCCCGTAAGCCTTAACCTTAATACAAGACCACCACATATGATAAAAATAACCTTTCTTTTTACATTTCCAACACTTATTTGATTTAGATTTATACATTTTTGCCAATTTATTCAGTGTTAGATACCATCGATATGACATTTTTATATAATTTTCTCTTTAACCATAGCATGCTATCAATTTTATATCCATATTCCACAATCGTTCCCATGGTTTCATGTCTATATTATGACCAATATCTATTGCCTAATGTATCATTGCGGATTTTACTTGCTCATCCTTTGTCTCCCATTCCAATGATATTTTATACATTTTAGACAGCACTTTTACATTACATTCCAAGAGGTATCTTTCCAGTTGTGTTATTTACACTTCTATGATTCTCTATGAGGCGAGTCATACACTCTGTCCCATTTTTATTTTTGAAGTTGGCAACCCCTATACACGTTCCTGGAGACAGGACCTGACTCTGCACAGCTAGGCCTTGCAGATGAAGCGCCCTGCAGCCCCCCATCCCATCCCATTGGGGCAACCCCCCATTCCCACAAGCTGTAGCTTTGGCCAGCAGGGATGAGAGTTTCGCATTGGGATGGGGGCAGGGGCGGACTTGCGTTTTGGGGGCCCTGAACTGTTATGGGACCGCCTCTCCCCATAGGAACTGACCTGGACCCTGCCATCCCTGAATCACAAGGAGCCTTTCCTGTGGTGGCTCCCAATTTGCGGAACACTCTCCCCAATGGGGCTTTGCCTCCATTGCATATCTTTCAGCACTAGGCAAAAACGTCCCTCTTCTCCCAGGCCTTTGGACAATTGCTCAGTCTGCAGCCTATTAAAGCAATGATTGTGCGTGTGTCATTTTTATTATCATCTGTTCACAGATTTGCAGAGTGGGAAGGGATAACGCAGGTCATCTAGCCTAACCCCTTGCAATACAGGAATCAGTGTTCTATGTTGCAAACGGCCCTGAGCTCTCTTGAAGGTCAATATATTAATTTACTAAACAGTAATAACAATAATCACCATCATCACCATCCATGCCCACTGGCCTGATGTTTGAGTCCAGCTGGGATAGCTCAGTCTGCAGAGAACGAGACTTAATCTCAGGGCTGTGGGTACCAGCCCCACATTGCTCAGAAGATCCCTGCATTGCAGAGGGTTGGACTAGATGGATCCCGACTCTACCGTTTTGTTAGTGTGGGCCTTGACTTTTCAGATCTGGGTTAGCCAGCCATACTCTAAGGCTCCGGAGCTTAAAATAGCATCCGCTCCGCCCCTTGAAACTGCAGAGTAGAATCCTAGATTTCTAGAGTTGGAAGGGAACTGAGGGTCATCTAGTCCAACCCCCTGCAATGCAGGAACCTTTTGCCCAATGTGGGGCTCGAACCCACCACCATGAGATGAACACAATCAATGCTCAGTACACACCTGGGAGCAGAAGAGTGAGGAAACCCTACACCCAATAACTCCTCTGGCCACACAGTTCTGCACAGAAAAGGCCTTTATTGTCAAACACAAAACTCAACTAGTAACAAAACATTTGGGCATCGTGCGTGCATCCCCCTCGCCCCCCATGACGAGGCAGTCAGTCAAACGTAATCCGGAAGCTGCGCTCCTGTTCCTTGCGGCGGCTTTCGCAAACCTTGGTCACTTCTTCTACTTTCCTTTGCAGCAGGGCTGAGGGCGGAATGACAACAAGGAGAATGTCAGAGGGCTGAGCATCCCAGCGCGCACCCCTGGAGAGAAACCCCTGGCAGAGCAGGCTCTGTCCGCCTGTGGCACAGCAGGCGCTTCCTCCCCCTCCCTGGCTGGAAGCACAATGGGGCTGAGTGGGGTGTGTTTCTAATAGGGCTGCAGCCACCCCCACCAGCTCAGTCTGGACTAGGAATCTCAAGCTGCACCAGGCTGCAGCTCCACGGCAAATTGCATTTTCTCCCACAGGCAAATTCACTGGAATAGCGTGGGCTAGGCTCACTCGTGCAGAGCACCTGTCTTGGGGTTCAGCCCCTAATTGCAGCGTCTCCACGTGGGGCTGGGAGGGACCTCTTCCTGAAATCCTGGAGAACCACTGCTGCCAGTCAGTGTTGACGACACTAAACTAGATGGACCTATACTCCTGGGGCTGTCCTTGTTGTGCTGACCCTCCTTCCTTGCCTTGTGGGAAGGGGGCTATTGGTTTGACTTGCTTTGGTTTGCTTTATGCATTTTGTGTTTTCTTTCTTGTGTTTTTATGCGGTGGCCTGCCCTGTGATCTTTGGATGAAGGGCGGTGTGCAAATTAAACAAATAAACAACACAACATCCAACAGACAGCTAGTAAAACCTGAGCAGGAGATGGATTTCGCAGTCTGGAGACCCACAAAATGGATCCTTCCCCCCCAAATATGAGGCTGTGATTTTCCCCCCAGCGGTTGCCATGTTTGCTGCAGAGGATCTCAACATGTGCCAAGCAGATAGCTCAGTAGGTTTGAGCATGGTGCTAATAACATCAAGGTGGCAGGGGTTGATCCCCATATGGGACAGCTGCCTATTTCCCTGTCTTGCAGGGGGCTCCACTAGATGATCCTCAGGGTCTCTTTGAACTCTATGATTCTAGGACAAGGATTGCTCGTTTCTCACCTTGATGCTTCACTTTAGCCCAATGGTTGCCATTAATTTGATTATGAATTGATTTTAGAATGTATTTCAATTAATAGATTGTGATTTTATGTAAACGGTGTTACTTTTACTGTTGTTAGCCGCTCTGAGCCCGGCTTCGGCTGGGGAGGGTGGGATATAAATAATAATAATAATAATAATAATAATAATAATTCTCTCCCTAGTCAACCTGCCTCAAAGCAGCTCATCTTAAAACTGAAGGAAGGACCCTACGACTCCCTAGAAAGGAAAAGTGCCAAATACCTGAATTCTGATCAATCCACTGGAGGGAGTCCATGTGCGCATTCAGAATCTTGCAGATCTGCTGAAGCTGGAAGAGATTAGAGAATGTCATGAGTAGTTGCCGACCCTGGTCTGGATCTCTCGAAGCCCTTGCAAAGACCACGAGATCAGCACTCACACCGGCAGTCATTTTTCAAGACTGAAGGATGTTAATGTTCTGCAGGAAAAGTTGAGCCAGGAACGGCACCATCGGAAGGGAAACCGAGCGTAACTGCCATGATTTAAAAAGGAGGCCTTTGCCCAGCCCAGGCAGGTAGCAATGTACTCTGGCCCCAAGATGGCAGGTTGGCAGCAGTCCTTTTCCTGCTCTGAGTGGCCCAGCTGTCAGTGGGAGAGCACAGAGCCCTGCCTGGGCCTGCAGAGATGGCTGTGCTGGTCCTGCGCGGCACAAATGTGGGTGGAAGAGGAAGGCAAATTCACACAGATGATGTCTTGGTGTCCAAGTGTACTAACCCGCCTCCCCCCCCCCCCCCCGTCTTGCTGAGGCACATCAAGGCTGGTGGTGCGATCTGCTCAAGGCAGATATGACTCCTTCCTTGAAATCATAGAATTGGGAGGGACCCCGAGGGTCATCTATTCTAACCACCTGGAATGCAGGAATCTGACCTAGAGCATCCGTGACAGATGGGCATCCAACTTGTTTAAAAATCTCCAAGGAAGGAGAGTCCACAACCTCCCAAAAGAATTGTTGCACTGTTGAACAGATCTTAGGTGTGGTCTGAAAATGTGATGCAGCAGCAGCAGCCAAAACAAAACAAAACAAGCTATGGTAATTGTATTCTAGGCTGCATCAACAGAAGTCTGGTGTCCAGATCAAGGGAAGCCATAGTCCCGCTCTATTCTACCTTGGTCAGACCACACCTGGAATACTGTGTCCAGTTCTGGGCACCACAATTTATGAAGGACATTGACAAGCTGGAAGGTGTGCAGAGGAGGGCAACCAAGATGATCAAGGGTCTGGAAACTAAACCTTATGAGCAACGGTTGAAGGAGCTGGGTATGTCTAGCCTGGAAAAGAGGAGACTGAGAGGAGATAGGAGAGCCATCTTCAAATATCTCAAGGGCTGTCACACAGAAGATGGAGCAATCTTGTTTTCTCCAGTGGGTAAGACCTGAAACAATGGCTTCAAGTTGCAATAGGAGATTCCAATTCAACATCAGGAATAATTTTCTGATTGTGATAGCTGTTTTGACTGTGGGATGGAAGGTGGTGAACTTTCCTTCCTTGGATGCTTCAGTTGAGGTTCTTGCCTTGCAGGGGGCTGGATTAGATCAGGGTCCCTTCCTAGTCTACAATTCTATGAGGCAGGTGAAAGCAAAGCAGGCCAGCCTTGAAGAATGGTGCTTCCTGCTCCTGAAGCCTGGCTGTGCTGAAAAGCACTGCTGAACAAGGCCACAGCGGCAGACAGCTGCCTGGAGGGGGAAGAGCAGGACAGAGCGGTCCTCATAAACCAGGAAGGAGCATCCTTAGAGAGGCTCTTGGCCCTCTCCTCTCCTCCTCCCATGCATCTCGTCCAGTTTGTACTCACCGGGTCACTGGTGTCAGCAGGGCCTCCAGAGGTGTTCAGGTGCTCAATAATATCTTTCAGATCTTGGGCCATGCGCTTCAGCTGGGCATCAATGTTCTCTGCCAGTTTGTACCTGCAGCACAGGAAAACATGTTGTCACAGGTATCGATCTCCCTCCTTCTCTCGCCCCAGGGAGCCTGCCAAGCCAAGGCCAAACACTTGGGGGGGGGGGAATCCTAAAGGCTCTTCGGCTGCCATGAGGGACCCTTAAACCTCTCCCATGGAACTGGCAGGCGTGTGCAAAGCTGTGATGATCAAGGGGAGCTGCTGGGTTTCCCAGTGGTCTCTAATCTTCTTTACGGGACCGCTTCTCCTGGTCTGCGCCGCTGAGGACCTTAAGGTCCATGAATAATCACAGTTTAGAGGTCCCGGGCCTTAAGAAAGTTAGATTATCCTCCACCAGGGCCAGGGCCTTCTCAGTGATGGCTCCAACCTGGTGGAATGCTCTGTCCCTTGAGACCAGGGCCCTGCAAGATTTAACTTCCTTCTTCAGCGCCTGTAAGACAGAGCTATTCCGCCTGGCTTTCAACTTGAACTTAGCCTCATATTTTATTCCCCTTCCTTCCCTCCCCCACCCCTTTTTATGAAGATTACCTGTTCTGGGATCCGACAGCTAATTCTCCCCTGGTCTCCTTGCTGGCCCAAATAGAACTAATTTAGCCAGCTAGCCCTGGTGATCATCTAATGCTTATTGGATGGATTTCCCCCTTAAATTGATTTTGAATTCTGAATTGATTGTTCTTCACGTTTTATACTGTATTTTATGCTGTTCTTTGTTGCACCAATTAAGAGTTTTAAATTTGTTGTTAGCCACCCTGAGCACAGTTTTTGAACCGGGAAGGGCAGGGTATAAATAAAAATTTATTATTATTATTACTTTCAATTAGACCTGTGAATGTTAGGGACTGAGCAGAAGCACCCTTAGGAGACAGCTTGGTCTTCTGGCTTAAAAGTGGACTCTGCAGGAATTGCGGGACAGCACCCACCTCCCAGGCCGAGTCAACATGCTCAGAATTATCCAGAAAGCAAATTTCCCCCTTTAGAATGGCTCAAGATAGGCTGATCTCCACAGCTGACCTCCAAACTTTTGCTTTTTATTTTTAAACTTGTCTACTTGGGGACCACCCACAGCCCACATAACTGGGGCTCCATCACTGCCATCCCTGGCATTGTCTTACGTCTTCTCCCGTTCCTCATCTGCATGTTGTAAGTAGACGGTCCCACTCTGCTCCTTTACGGACTCTTCCAGGGGCATCAGCAAGTCCTCCAGCTCCTTTTGCTGGGACAAAATGAAATCTAGTTCTTGGTCCAACCTATAGAAGGAAAAAGGGGAGGGAGGGAGGCTAGATAAGCAGGCAACACGTGGCAGCACTGTCCGGGAGAGGCACTCAGGTAGAATTCAGGCAGATTAGCCAAAAATATATTTGCACTTTTGGCTGAAGTCAACCTGAGGACGCCAAAGGGCCTCGTCTTCAGGTACCAGCACACACAGGGAAGAAAATGGTTACTTTGGGTCACCTGGCATAATTGTAATGTGATTTGATAGGTGGGAGGAGGGAGGTCAGGATCTGGCACATGGGCTAGATCCTGCACCCCACCCCTGTACTACAGAAAACGAGGAAGACGCCGACATCTCTATTAGCTGGCGCTGAAAGGAGGTGTGGAGAGGAAGCGCTTCTGAGGAAGGGCTCACTGCCCAAGACAGCTTCACCATCTAAATCAGCACAGTGGTACCTCAGGTTAAGAACTTAATTCGTTCTGGAGGTCCGTACTTAACCTGAAACTGTTCTTAACCTGAAGCACCACTTTAGCTAATGGGGCCTCCCGCTACCGCCGCTGCGTGATTTCTGTTCTCATCCTGAAGCAAAGTTCTTAACCCAAGGTACTATTTCTGGGTTAGTGGGGTCTGTAACCTGAAGTGTCTGTAACCTGAGGTACCACTGTATTATAGAATTGCAGAGTTGGAAGGGACCCTGAGGGTCATCCAGACCAACCCCCCGCAATGCAGGAATCTCAACTCAAGCATCCGTGACAGATGGCCATCCACCTCCCAAGGGAGTCAGTTCCACTGCTGAACAGCTCTAACTGTCAGAAAGTTCTTCCTGATGTTGAGCTGGAATCTCCTTTCTTGGCACTTGAACCGCCTTCTGCAGCTCCTTCATCGCGAGAAGCGAAGTTACAGGGAACCAGGCAGAGGGCTTTCTCAGTAGTGGCTCCCGTCCTGTGGAACGCCCTCCCTTCAGATGTCAAGGAAATAAACAACTACATGACTTTTAGAAGACATCTGAAGGCAGCCCTGTACAGGGAAGTTTTTAACGTGTGTTGATTTACTGTGGTTTTATAATTATTTATTGGAAGCTGGCCAGAGTGGCTGGGGAAACCCAGTCAGAAGGGTGGGGTATAAATTATGACTGTGGGACTGAGGGGGGCTGTTTCCAAGACCTTTGCCCCTTGCAACGTCCCCTGCCATTCACAAGCATCTCAAGGATTCCTTCACAGTACTCAACCTCCCACCAATAACATGCTATGCAGCCCCTTTTCCCTCTACCTTTTCTGATCCAGTTTCACTTTTTCCACTTCTCGGTGCAGAGATGTGATCTGTAAGGCAGAGACAGGGTTTACAAAGTGGGACGGGAATCTACAAGTGACAATAAAAGCCCCAATCTTTTTCGAGGTACAGTGGGAAATCAGGGCTTCGGGAACACTAGAAAAGAACTGGCTGAAGAACACAATGAGCAAAAAGGAGTTAGTGCAACACGCTTTCTGTGGGGCTTCCTTCACGATGGATACGGAAGCTGCAGTTAGTGAAGGATGCTGCAGCACGATTGCTGACAGGAACGAGACCTTGGCAGAAAGTAACACCTGGGGTCAGAGGTCTGCTCTGGATGCTGATCTGCTACCAGGCCAAGTTCAGAGTTTATAAACTAACATTAACACTATTAACTAACACTGTTCACTGATAGGAACGCTGAACAACTTAGGACCTATGAGATCAACTTGCCCTCCATGTGCCCACTCAACTGCTTCCATCGGCAGAACTGGAACCATTATAAGTGCCACAGAACTGTTTTCGGCCCTTGCTAAAAAACAGTTTCACTTAGGCAAGCCCACCGAAGCTTGCAGAATGTTGACAAGTGTTTTGATCTGTTTTCAGTTGACTGCTTATTTTAATGGCTATTTCAATGTTTTAAATACTTGTTTTGACTCAGACATATGCTCTTTATTATGTTTCAATCACTGATGTTCTGTAATGTGTTTTTAATGTTGCCCTGTGATCTTTCGACGAAGGGTGGTACTTAAACTAAAATAAATAAATAATATTAATAATGTTACTGTTCTATTCTTTATTTGTAAACCACTTTGAGTGGCCCCCCCCCCAAATTGAGCAGTGTATCATTTTTTTATAAAATACATAAATATACAGAAGCTGCATTTTTTTTTTGCTATACAGTGGTACCTTGGTTCTCAAACTTAATCTGTTCGACTCCCAAAAGCGTTCGAAAACCAAGGCACGGCTTCCAATTGGCTGCAGGAGCTTCCTGCCCTCGACTGAAAGCAGTGTTGGATGTTTGGCTTCCGAAAAATGTTCACAAACCGGAACACTCACTTCTGGGTTTGCAGCATTCAGGAGCCAATTTGTTCAGGAACCAAGCTGTTCAAGAACCAAGGTACCACTGTACTGTTAAGGTTAAAATTGTGTAGAAAGAGGACGGTTAGTTACAGCCAGCCCCTGCATGGGCACTCCCCCTCTGACCTAGGCAGCACAGCTCCCTAAAAAGAATCTTGCCAGCAGAATGGGTCCCTACCTTCTCCCCGTTTTCGATCAGTTTCCTGTCCCAGGCGTTGACTTGGGTGGCCTGCTGGAGGAAGTGCTTCTCCTGGTCCTCCAGCTCCAAGCTCCACTTGTTAACCAGGCTCTCCAGCTGGGCGTAGGTCATCGACGGGGGAGCCCTGCAAAGACAGGAGGAGTGTGCTGGGTGGCGAAAGAGCTGAGCCAGCCCACAGCTCCACCCCCACGCGGGGCTCAAGGAGGGAGACCTGCATCCAGCAAACTGCTATTCCTTGCCTCTGTGGAGGGACTCCATTCTACACCCCCCAAACTCATGGCTTGCCTAGCATATGGCAATCATCATCATCAGCAGCAGCAGCAGCAGCAACATTTATACTCTACGCATCTGTCTGGGTTTCCCCAGCCACTCCGGGCAGCTTCAAGTATGTATAAAAGCTTAATAAAACATCAAACGTTATAAACTTCCTGATTATATACTTATTAAAATTACAAACATTATAAACTTCCTTTCAATGCCTTCTAAAAGTTGTGTAGTTCTTCCCAACTCTGAGTTAAAGATAAAAGTCCCCACCAGAGAAGAATGACAAATCAAGCTGATGGACTATTCTGAGATGGCAAAGCTGACTAGAAAACTCAGAAACCAGAAGCACAAAAACTTTACAAAAGAAAGGGAATTTTTTATAAGCTATTTAGGAGACCACTGTAAGCAGATGGAAACAAGAGCAAGATTTTGATTCATTTGTAGTGTAAAAATACTATGGATAATATAGTCTGATATAATAATTGGAGTACTTATGAATATGCAGGTGCAGGTTCTTAAAATGAGACTCCATGGAGGGAAGTCCCGAGATTCAGAGACTCTATACAGATATATCTTTGCCAGTTTGTGTTTATTTGTGCTTTGTATTTGTAAAATCAATAAAAATGTTGTGAGTTTTTTTTAAAAGGTTGTGTAGTTCTTTATCTCCTTGACATCTGAAGGGTGTTCCACAGGGAGGGTGCCACTACCGAAAAGGCCCTCTGCTTGGTTCCCTGTAACCTCATTTCTCGCAGGGAGGGGACCGCTAGAAGGCCCTTGGAGCTGGACCTCAGTGCCCAGGATGAACGATGGGGTGGAACACGCAGGGAACTTACGTGACTGTTGTGGTGCCCGCAGTGGACGTGGAGGCCACTGTAGCAGTGGTGGATAGAGGCTTCAGGTTCAGCATGAATCCCGTACTTGGGGTGGAGGCGATACCTGCAGAGAAAACAAATGTTGGGTCAAACCACATCAGGAAGTCAACAGGGATGCAGGGCAACAGAGTCCTCGCTTGGAGCTGGTCCCAGGATGGGAGACTCCTGGGCCTGACCTCAGCTGCGATGGAAGAGCCAGGGATGGGAAGAGGAGGCTGCCAAGGCTGCCTGCCCAGCATGCTCCGTGGCCAAGTGAAAAACCACAACCTCTCCTATAGCTGATCTCAATAGTGCCCACTTGTCACTGAATGCAACCAACGGAGCTCGGGACCCCTCTTGCATTATCAATAAAGACAAACAAATATATAAACAAAGGACCTTCCCATGTGATATAGACACAACCCCCTACACTAACAGTAGGCAATAGATCCCTGCTCTCCCTCTCAATCTGCCTCTTTTCCCCCAACCGAATGATGTCTATGACAAGTGTCTCTCACTAACTGTTAAAAAGACTCTGTGAACTGATGATAGATGTACCTTTCCCTGTTCATCTGTTTGTTTCACAACACACACACAAAATAGTTAATAACAACTAATTAAAAGAAAAATATCCACTCCACCTCGTTAGCAATCATTTTCGCGATGCCAAGAGAGGAGGTATCAGCAGATGAAGGAGCATTTCTGATATGGAGAATTTGGGGCTGGGGTGAAAATACCACCCACTTGCCCTGCTCAGGAATCCCTTTTCTTCAGAGTCTCCAGCTTTGGCAGCAGGAGGAAGAAGAGCGATTGACCCTCCAGTTCACGTGCAGACAGTGCTGTGTTACTCAATGCTGCACGAACTCCAGAACCATCAGTGGCCCAGGCAGGACCTAGTACAAAAAGATGCGAGCCAGACAGACTTCTGGAGTCTGCTTTGTGGACAATCCATCACACACACACAGTTCCACTTCAACTACAGCATCCTCCCTAGTTTCCTGGTACTGCTGGCTTTGACCTGCAAAGTCCTAAATGGTATAGAACCAGTATATCTGAAGTTGCCAGCTCTGTCTCCAACGTAATCTTGCCTACCCGCAGCTTTCAACCTTGGTGGCTCTGCTATACACAACACCCCCTTCCAGGAGCACGGCTAACTGGGATGTGGGGCAGGGTCCTTCCTAATGTGGCACCTTGGAACCATGCAACTCCTTGCCTAGAAAGATTCCATCGGCTCCTTCTTCCAAGCTTCAGGAAAGACCATTTCATTTCACCAAGTTTCTAGCGTGGGTTAAAATACGTTTGTTTTTTAAATCCCTGTTTCGATGCTGAATTGCTCTATTTCGTAAAGCTGATCATAGCAACGTAAACAGCTTTACGTGCTTCACGAATTGCGAACGCTGCAGAGCCCTTCAAATAATATAACGACAGCAAGCAAGAACTCCACGGTGCCTGCAACATTCTACCTGATAGCTCAGTCGGTAGAGCAGGAGACTCTCGATCTCAGGGTCATGGGTTTGAGACTCACATTGGGCAAAAAATTCCTGCATTGCAGGGGGTTGGACTAGATGACCCGCATCGTCCCTCCCAACTCTGTGATTATATGATATTCTACCCAAAGAGCAAAAGTCAGTGGCAGTTGTGTGTATCCTTGCCTTCCCTCCCTCCTATTTTCTCTTATGAGCCTTACTGGTTGCTGCGGGGGCTCCTCCCACTGCAGTCGCTGTGGCCGTGGGTGCTGTTGCTGTTGTCCCAGGGGCTTTTGCGCCAAACCCTAAAGTCCCAGCAGGTGCCGTCCCCGTTGAGGTGACACCAACTACAGAAGGAAGAAAACAAGAGCTCCTGAGTGCGGCTTGGCAAGGCTGCCTCCTGCTCAAAAGAACAGCCCCGGCAGTTAAGTGGTTTGGTGCAACAGACCTTTAGGCAAAACCTGGTGAAGTACAAAATATCCTGGACTGAGGGGGAGAGAGAAGTGGTCTGTTTTGCACCATCATCAGGCAGTGGGCAGAGCCAAGGCTGCCCAAGCCCCACTCTTTCCACTTTCCCATCAAGAAGGGAGGCAGGGCCCCAGTAGCTTACGTGAGAGGCCAGTAGCAGACGAGGCTGGCGCGGAAGAGCTTGCAATGGATGCAAACAACGTTGGCCCGGACATCCCGAGGATGGAGTTCACAGCTGTGGTAGAAGGCGCAGTGGAAGTTGCCGCTGTACCTGCTTCGGGGAAGAGATGCATTCTGGGGTTCAGTTACAACCAGGAGGAGGAGAACACACTTTCCTCACGGAAGATACTTAGCTGGTAAGAGCATGAGACTCTTAATCTCAGGGTTGGGGGTTCAAGCCCCACGTTGGGCAAAAGATCCCTGCATTGCAAGGGGCTGGACTTGATGACCCTCAGGGTCGCTTTCAGCTCTGAAGTTCTATGATTCTATGCACCCGTCCACAAGGCCAAGGAAGACACAGAGTCGGCCTGGTGGCGGAGCAGTTTTCCAAGAAGTCGAAGGCAACTGGAAGTTCTCACAGCCCCTGCCCCCCTGTTATGGCCAAGTAGGGGAAGCAGCTGCCGCCACCACTGCTGCTATGCCAGTCCCTGTGTGCTAGGTGCTGTACAAAGAGGAGAACCATCTACTCCCAGGCACACTATGCAAAGGCACAAGGCTATGGCAAAACTTGGTGAAGGAGCTGTGGCGATGCGGGAGGAGAAGTTAAACAGCAACTGAAGAAAAAGAATGGGCGGTGGTTGTTCAGGGAAGAGGCAGTGGTGAGATGACAGCAGCAGCAGCAGCTTGGCGGGCAGAGCGTGTCCAAGAGCAGAAGCAGAACACGGGGAGGAAAAGAACCAAAAGGCGGCTGTGGCAGATCAGCTTGGCCGGAGTGTGTGTGTGTATAAGCACAAACGGGAACAGGCAGGATTCGGAGGGGAAGGTCTGGAGCTTGAAACAGAGAGTGAGGAGAAAGGCCCAACTGTGCCAAGGTATTTCAGAGTTAATTTAGAAGGCCAGCAAAGCAAGGAGGGACACCAGCACAACTGACCTGCCCTATCTCACTTCACTTCTTAGCAAGAACGGCCCAATTTCCCCCTTCCCGAGGCACAATTGCCTACCTCCAAGTTTCGCTCCAAAGGACAAGGCTGGCCCCTGACCGAGTGTTCCTGTGGAGGCAGAGGTGGCAGGTGTTGATGTCAGCAGCCCAAAGCCTGAAACTGGAGCTGGAACAGAGAATGGTTAAGAGAAGCAGTTATCACCTTAAATTCCTTCTCCAGTCTGTGCTTGAGTAGAATGGCATCTTTGGACACAGCTGCATTACCTCGCCGCAAAGGGACTCAGCCCTTCACCTATATACAGTTACCCAACTTTACATATGGAGGGCATCTGTCCTCACAAGGCTTGCAAGGCAACTTGTCTACAAAGAAACTCTGCCTTGCCAGAAGTGCTTTTGCACAGGGCTTGGCGTCTCACCTGTTGTCTGCGCCCCAAGGCCAAACGCCACAGCTGGCTGCGCTGTGGATACTGTGGTTGTAGTAGGGCCGGCCACGGATGCAGGAACTCCGAACGCCAAGCCAGTGGAGGCGGGTGCTGCTTGCTGCGTCGTATTCCCTATGGAGCCAAGGCTGAAGCTGGGGGCCGCAGCCTGCGTTGCTCCCACGCCTCCAAAGCTGAAGCCTCCGGTTGTGGCAGGCTGGGTAGCGGTGTTGGAGCCAAACACAAAGCCGGAAGGAGCCACTGGCTGGCTGGCAGGGGCGCTACTGGGTGTGGATGTGCCCAGTCCGCCGCTGCCAAGCCCAAGCGCCCCCGTAATGCCAGCCGATTGTGTTGTGTTGGTGCTGCTCAAGTTCAGCTTGGGGGCATTTCCCCTAAATAAATAAAAAAGAGCAAAAGGGTCCAGGGTGGATTTTTGGCAAATATTCAAAGCATCCCAAGTTCTCTTGTGCCATTTTTTTGCTGCTACTTCTGCATCATTTCATTCATTTCATTTCTGACTAAAGTCTCAGGGTAGGTTGTTTGCCCATTTACCACAGGATTTTTAACATTCCAGCTGAGCCCAAGGAGACTGGCAACCGGCGTTAGGAATTAGCCAGGCACCAGGTGCATTTTGCGACTGGCGCGGGTCCAATTGAGACCATTTCCATCTGGCTGGCCCCTCCAGTTTTTGGAAGGAAGTAAGCAGAATAACTTATTCATTGCATTTATTTCCCACCTTTTCCTGCAAGGAGTAGAGTCATATCTTGGTTCTCAAATGGAATCCGTTCCAGAAGTCTGTTCGACTTCCGAAAACGTTCAAAAACCAAGACGCGGAAGCAGCGTTGGACGTTCGGGTTCCAAAGAACGTTTGCAAACCAGAACACTCACTCCTGGGTTTGCAGAGTTCAGGAGTCAAAACATTCGAGTCACAAGGCGTTCGACAACCAAGGTATGAATGTACATGGTTCAGCCCCCTCCTCAGTTAATCCCTACAATGACCTGGTGAGGTAGGTTAAGCGGCTGTGAATGACTCCAAGGCTTCCTGTATGAGTGGGGATTTGAACCATGATCTCCCAGGTTCTGGTCCAACTAACCACTACACCACTCTGGTTTCCTGGAGTTCTTCTGCTACGGGGCAGCTCTATAAATTAAGGAGGTCAATAAATATGGGGAAAGCCAAATGTCCCTTAGAGAAGGATCTGACATATTTTCCTGGAAGTTTGCATTTGTTTTATTCTGCATTGTTTTATTTTATGTTAATGTACTGTCAACCGCTTTGAGATTGTTTGCTTTAAAATATAAAGCAGTATAGAAATTAAATTATTATTATTGATAATAATAATAATATAATTTCTATACTGCTTTATATAATAATAATAATAATAATAATAATAATAATAATAATAATAATAAAATCTCCAATGGGAAGGAATGGTGCCTAGACACACCATTGTGGTGGCTGTAACCTAGGTTTAAGGTGACATTGCTGGGAACCACCCTGGGCACCAGCTCCCCCACCTAAGGCTATAGATTGTACAACACAATGGTACCGTGGTTCTCAAATGCCAAAAACCCGGAAGTAAGTGTTCTGGGTTTTCAGAAGCCGAACGTCTGATCCTTAGGGCTCAACAAGCCTCCCACCCACATGGGATTGTGCCAACCTTACCCCAGTGTGAACACATTTCCAGCAGCAGCTGGTGCCGACGTGATAGGTGTGCCGAAGCTGAATCCAGAGGTCTGTGCCGATGTCGCTGGGGGAGCGAAAGAGAACAGGCCTGCAGGCTGGGTGCTTGCTGGGTTTTGAGCAGCTGTCCCAAAACTGAAGCCTCCCCCTGTGGTGGCTGAAGAGAAGGAGAACCCCGCGGGGGCTGTGCTGGCTGCGGTTTTCGGAGTCCCGAAGCTGAAGCCTCCCCCAGGAGTGCCAGGTGTGCCAAAGTTGAACTGGCTCATGATGATGGCTGTGCTCCTGTGAGGAAACAGAGAAAAAGAGCTGTCTCGTTGGCTCCAGGGCTGATGCTGATCTGTGGAGGCTGGAGATCTCGGTGGGCGAAGCAACCCAAGAGCACAAGAGGGGTGGGGTGGGGTGTTGAAGCAAAGGCAAACTGTTTCAGAAGCTCTGCAAATGCCACCTTGGTTACAAAGATAACCCCACAGTAAATATGGGGGGGATCTAAATGCCCCTTAGAGAAGCAACTGAAATATTTTCCTCAAAGCTTGTATTTGTTTTATTCTGGATTGTTTTATTTGAGGTTTCAATGTGATGCCAACCACTTTGAGATTTCCCCTTTAAAATATAAAGTGGTCTAGAAATGGATACTACTACTACCACTACTACTACTACTACACTCTAGTGGGAGTGGAAAAGGTGCCTAGGCATACTGCTGTGGCAACCATAAACGGTTTAAGGTGCTATTTGGCGATTAGCTTATGCATCTGAACGGCCTTCTCGGTAGCAGAACCCACTCTGTGGAATGCCCTCCCGTCAGATGTCAGACAGATAAACAAATATTTGACTTTTAGAAGGCAGCCCTGAAGGCAGCCCTTAGGAAAGTTTTCAATGGCTGATGTTTTATTGTGTTTTTAATGCTGCGTTGGGATCCAGTCAGATGGGCAGCATATACATAATAAATCACCAACATCATCATATAAGTTTCTAACACTGCCCACCAAAGACCACCAGTGTCGAATCAATGATTCTTCAACATCAACTTTGTTGGACTGGTCATGTTGTTCGGATGCCTGATTAACGTCTTCCAAAGTGACTACTCTATTCCAAACTTAAAAATGGTAAGATTAATGCTGGTGGTCAACGAAAGAGGTTTAAAGACTCTCTGAAGGCAAATCTAAAAAAAAAGTAGTATAAAGACCGACAACTGGGAAACACTGGCCTGTGAGCGTTCCAATTGGAGAACAGCCTTTACCAAAGGTGTCATGGGCTTTGAAGACGCTGGAACTCAGGACGAAAGGGAGAAACATGCTAAGAGGAAGGCACGCTTGGCAAACCCTCACCATGATCAACCCCCATCCAGAAACCAATGTCCCCACTGTGGAAGGACGTGTGGATCCAGAATTGGCCTCCACAGTCAATTATGGACTCACTGCTAAAACCGTGTTTATGGAAGACAAAATAAATCATCATCATCATCATTCCCTGTTTTTAATGTCTGAAGTTTTATTCTGTTTTTAATGTTCTGTTGAAAGCAGCCCAGAGTGACTGGGGAAACCCAGCCAGATGGGCCGGGTAGAAATACAGTGGGTACCTTGGGTTAAGTACTTAATTTGTTCTGGAGGTCCATTCTTAACCTGAAACTGTTCTTAACCTGAGGTACCACTTTAGCTAATGGGGCCTCCTGCTGCCACCATGCGATTTCCGTTCTCATCCTGAAGCAAAGTTCTTAACCCGAGGTACTAGTTCTGGATTAGCAGAGTCTGTAACCTGAAGCGTCTGTAACCCGAGGTAATAATAATAATAAATTTTATTTATACCCTGCCCTCCCCAGCTAAGGCCGGGCTCAGGGGGGCTAACAAGCAATAATAAAAACAAGTTGAATGAATACAATTTAAAAACAAGATTAAAATACAACATTAAAACACTGTAAGGTAACACAGCAATAAATTATTATTACTATTATTATTATTAGTATCATCATCATTTCTAACGCTCCCCACCCACTACTTCCAGCCCGTCAAGTTAAGGGCTCCAGCGACCAAAGGGAACCGTCCCCCGTGGGCGCCTCATGCCAGATCTCGCCGCAAGGAGCGGATTGACTTCGACTCCATACCTGAGCGTCTAACCCTGCTCCTCCTCCTCCTCCTCGTGCTGCTGCTCTCAGCGCTAACGGCAGTCTCCTGCGTCCGCGAGAGGGTCTTGCGGGGCCGGGGAAGAGCAACTGTCAATCTCCCCTTCCCTCCTCGCCTCACCTCTCTGGCGGCGTCTCCTCCGCAGCGCGGCAGTTACGCTCCTCGGCCGCGCGTCCCTATGACGCGATACCAGCGCCCGTCCCGCGCGGAGGTTCCGGCGCCTCCCGATGTCGTCTTGGCGCTCCTCCGCCAATGGGCGCGCCGCATCCTCCTTGCACCCGCGCAGGCGCCATCGGGCCGTTGCCGTGGCGACGCGGGAGACGCTGGCGGTGGCAGGCGGGCCGCTCGCTTTCTGGGCGCTGCTGCGAGTTTCTTTGTAGCCGCCCTGGCGATGGAGCCCCCGGAGCTGGGACTCTGCTCGGCCTCCTCCTTGCTGGCTCTCTCTCAGTTGCTGTCGCCGCCGGAGGAGGAGGACGAGGACGGAGGAAGAGCGATAGGGGTGAGAGCAGTGCCGGATTGATGTATAAGCTAAACAAGCTATAGCTTAGGGCCCCACTCTCTCTCCCCCCCCCCCCGTATACTTATTCTTAATTATCTTTCACTATTAATATACTTCTTCTTAATTGTATTTCAGTTCAAAAATCACTTTGAAAAAATACATATTTTGTTATATGCAAATGGCTTTAGATACCTATTAAGTACATAAATTACAGTCATACCTCAGATTTGAAAATAGGGATCAGCAGCCTCACCTGTCCCGGGGACAGTCTACGGGATATCAAACAATTCGGAATAGCAGTGGAAAGCAGCGGGAAACAGCGCTGGAATAAGGGAATTTCCCGCAAAAAAGGGGAAGGTTGACAGCTATGGGTTGTGCTTTTTCAGGTTACGGACGTGCCGAAACCCGGAAGTACCGGAACGAGTTACTTCTGGGTTTCAGTGGTTGCACATGCACAGAAGCGCCGAATCGCAACCTGCACGTGCGCAGATGTACCGCTGCGGGTTGCGAACATGCATCCCGCACGGATCACGTTCGCAACCTGAGTGTCCACTGTACCATATAGCATATTTTCAACACAAAAAACAGCAACAATTTGTTGTTGACAGCTGGACATATAAAGGGCCCCATTACCTTCAGTAGCTTAGGGCCTCATCAAACCTAAATCCGACCCTGGGTGAGAGGAAGGCCGGGGGTGGGGTGGGGAGACCCCCTCCCCCTCCAGGGGTTCATTTCTCTCTTTAAACATGACCTTTTTAAATTAAATTTTTAGATTTTGCCATTTCTTTTAGAATCCTAGAATCGTAGAGTTGGAAGGGACCCCTGAGGGTCATCTATGAAAACCCCCTGAAATGTAGGGATCTTTAGTAAAAGGCGGAAGATTTATACAATCTGAAGAGAAAGCAGCTGAAAACATTAGCAGGACTGCAGTGACACTTGTAATGTAACGAGAAATATGGACATAATGGAGTGATAAAAAAATTGATTATTGAAAAAAGATGCAGTAGAAAAGGTTTAACAACAGAACCCATGGAGGGGAAGGTGGGAAGGTCCAGAGACTTGGATGAATCTTTAAACTGTGGATATGTTGTGGTGTGATTATAATGTTAAATATGTAAAACCAAATATATATATATTTTTAAAAGAGCAATGCAGGAATCTCAGCTGAAGCCTCCTTGACAGATGGCCATCCAACCTCTGCTTTAAAAGCCTCCAAGGAAGGAGAGTCCACAGTTTCCCAATAGAGACTGTTCCACAGTCAAACAGCTCTCACTGTCAGAATGTTCTTCCTGATGTAAACATCAGGAATCTCCTTTCTTGTAACTTGAAGCCATTGGTTCGAGTCCTACCCCCTCCCGGAGCAGGAGAAAACAAGCTTGCCACCTCTTCCATGTGACAGATCTTGAGATATTGGGAAATGGCTCTTTTTTAAAAAAAAAAATATTTTTATTAAGGATTTTCTTGTTTTACAGAAGTAAGTGTAATGCCTCGTATTTTTTCCCCCCCCATGTAACATTTTTACAAATCCGTTTCATTTGTTGAGGCATTGGGGGAGAAGAAAAAAAGGAAAAAGAAAGGGGGGGTGGAGAGAGGGAAGATGGATGGGGGTGGGGTCGGGTGGCGGTGTTTTTATTATGTTTAATGTATGTAGAGTTTGGTGTCAGCGTTGCTTGTGTTGTTCACTTGTGTTCCTTTGGTGGTGAGAGAGGTTGGGGTTGGCCTAGGGTATGATTGTTTGCTTGTGATTGGCTGTGGTGATCTTTGTTTTTGTGTGTGCGTGAGGTGGGTGTGTGTTTTGGATCAGGTTAGCCATATTGATTTGTATGCTGTTGGTGGATTATTGTCATTGTCCTGTTGGGCTGTGTATGTGATAAAGGGGAGCCATACTGGGGTGAAGGCGTCTTCTTCTGTTTGTCCCCGTGTCAGTTTCAGTTTATTAGTTAATTTTTCTAGTAGGGCTGTTTCCCATACTATTTGGTACCATTGGTCCATGTTTACTCCTGACAGGTCTCTCCAGTGTCTGGTTATGGTGTTTCTGGCTGAAAGTAGGTAGGTTATGAGTTCTTTGTGGTGTAAATGGGCATTGTTGTCTTGGAAGATGTTTAGTAGGGCCAATTCTGGGGTGATGTCTATTACTTGCTTAGTTATTTTACATATTTCTTGTATGGCTGTTGGGAAATGGCTCTTATATCTTTAGACAACATTCAGAACAAATCTTTCCTATCAATTGAACTCCCATCCACCCTTCCATGGTCTTCTTTTCTAACCAAATAAAGCTGCTATATTACTTATATTTTACCCATTATATACATGAATTCTAACTTGGTAAACTATCCGTTCTCATCTGTTGCTATAATTCAAATGCTGCATATGTTTTCACATAACCATGCTATTAAAAGACAAATTCCACAAAATATTTCCATTCCTCAAGAATTTTTTCCTCATCTTTAATTCTAACAGTCAATCTAGTCATCTCAGCATATTCCATCTTCTTCATAAGCCTCTGCGCTTTCAGTGTGCTTTAGACCTGCCTTCTTTAGGGCAGCTAACGGACAAGGGCTGAATGCAATCTTTTTGCAGGTGAGCAGCGCAGGCCCAGGGAACATTGGCCCCCCAAAGGCAGCAGCGCCCACAGGTAAGCTGGGCGTTATGATGATTTATTACATTTATGTACTACATTTATCTTCCAAGGAGCTCAAGGTGGTGTACATGGTTCACCTCCTCCCCATTTCATCCTCTCAGGAACCCTGTGAGGTAGGTTAGATGGTGACTGGCTCTAGGACACCCAATGAGCTTTATGGCTGAGTGGGGTTTCAAACCCAGCCCTCCCATGTCCAACACTCTAATCATTATGCCACAAAGCAAGGAGTGAGGAGATTTTTTTTGGGGGGGGGAGCAGGGTGCACAGGGACATCACTGATATGCCATCAAAAGGTTGCCTGCAGCGTCCTGTCCACGCATCACTCAGGAAATCTGAAAATAGCAGACACACCCTCGGCATCCGTTGAAACAACAAACCCCAGCGATGCCGCTCACACATGGAAGGAATCAGTGAACTTGGTGACAAGGACAGAGCTGCAAGGCACCTCCATGCATCACACAGAACACACAACAGTGTTCCTGCTCTGTGAGCCCTGGTGGCATAGGCAGCCGCAGCCTTCAGATCCCATTAGGCTCCCTGTAACCACTGTCATAGGGCAAGAAGACACAGAAAGAGGAGTGAGGAGAACTCAGTGGCCAGCACTGATGTAGCTCCCTTAACAGGAGGCCTGCAAGGAGCACATATAGCCAGGTCGAGAGTTTTGTGGGCCTTTGGGCAACAGAATGTCCATGGATCCTCTTTGAGCTCCCTCTATTTAAAGTGAGGCTGGCCTTATAATAATAAAACTTGGAATTGTAGTGATGCACAACACTCTTACTAATGTATGAATAATTTTTTTACCAACAATGTCGTGAACCACCATGAGATCGAGTATAGGGCAGTATACAAATTTAATTAACAACATGATCACCATCAACAAGAACAACAAAAAGCACTGGCCTATATATAAGCCCATCCTTTCTAACATCAGTAGCAATTTCCCCAATGGCATCATAACAGGTACTAAATCATTATTTGTAGTGATGTACGAGCATCTCTGATTAATGGGATTTCAGCCAGTGATTAATGGGATTTACAACTAGAAAACCAAGCTGCTTACAGTGTCTGTAAGATGCTCCCTTGTGCCATGAGTGTGTTATGAGTCAGACATGGCCTGTTGCCCTGCAAGTTTCAAAAGGCCAGGGAGCTGTGTGTGCTCTGCAAGGACAGGTAAACCAGGTGATTCTGTCTTCCTGCTTGCAGCCGCCACTCAAGTGAAATATGGGAACAGCAAAGAGATCTGGAACGCAGAGGACGTGCCGGAGGATTCCGAGTACAATGATGATGCCTTGGACTCCAGGGAACAGCCTGAGTAAGTCCACATGCCCTGCCAGGAGCGCTTGCCTCTCTCTTCCAAATCCGTGCTCTGATTTGCTTTTGGATGAGGGAGTTATCTTAAACAGTCTTGCATGGGTTGGTTCAGTGTTTGAAATTAACCGGGCACCAGTCGCATTTCACCACAGGCGACAGGCCTTTTGCGAGTAAGTGGAGATGTCTGGTCACAAGATTTGACGACTAACATCTGGCTGGCTGCTGCTGCCATACCGTGCCAGTCAGGAAGTGGGGCTAGGAGTGCAGCTTTATAAATTGCATTGAAATTGCTGCAACACATGAGTAGCTCTGGAGCAGCTGACAGGCAGGGCAGGCACCGTCCTGGCAGAGAGAAGGAGGCAATTAAATCTTCTGCTGTTTCAAACGGGTGTTGCTACCAAATCTATAGACAAAGTTCTCTTAAATTTTTTGAAAATACATTTTACATATCTTAGTACATCAATTATACACTTGTAGTCATTTATCTTACACTCTTTGGTTACCACACACATCCCTCTTATTTAGTCCTTGTTAAGTTGCTTATTTCTGCTTATTAAGTTCTGCTTATTTTTAACTGCGGCTCAGTATCTAACCCCACTTGGAAGTTTATCTGATTGTTATATTTCTTTAAATATTCATCAAAGTACAGTATTCCCACCCTTCTTTTATATCTGACTCATCCTAATTTCTTATCTTTGCAGTCAACATTGCTAGCTCCGTGTATTCTATTAGCTTATTCTGCCAGTCTGCTTTTGCGAGACTATTTTTGTCCTTCCACCTTTGGGCACAGATTATTCTGGCCGCTGTTATTGCATAGAGGAAAAGACTAAGGACTAAGTATTGGGTATTTCCCCCTCTACTATACTCAATAAGAACATCTCTGGTTTATTGGGAAATGAGACTCTTAACATCTTTTTTAGATCTGAGTATATCATCTCCCAATACACGTTGGCTTTCTTACACCCCCACCACATATGTATAAATGTCCCTTCAATCTCTTCACATTTCCAACATGGTTCCCTTTTTATACATTTTTACAAGTTTACTAGGGGTGAGGGACCATCTATATAACATCTTACATAGGTTCTCTTCTAGAGTATAGCATGCCGAGAAGTTTATTGTTGTTTTCCACAGTTTCTCCCAAGAGGCCAAGTTCTTTCCTGTAGGGAAATAACTCAGCTTACTTTGCTCAATTATATTAGGGGCATTCCATGCTTAAAATGCAATATTCAGCTATGTTCTTGCATTTCTTAAAATCCATAGAAAGGGAATGTGCTGTTCCCAAATTTGCTTCATTCCAAATTAAATAAATTGGCATTGAGCGGGAGAGAGAGAGAGAGAGAATGGTTGCCCAATGGAAAATAATTGAAATTGGTTAGAAAAGCTCTGTGAGGTTCAGGCTCCAAGAAGGAATTGTGGATGGGAAAGCCAGAAGCAGCTTGCTACATAATTGCTTGGCAGCTGGAGGCCAATGCTTGTCCACCTCCCTCCAGTTGCTTTCTGGGGTTGCAGTGGCTGAGCAGGAACTGAAAGCAGCGGGCTCTGCCCCGTTGGGAGTGTAGGGGCTGCCAGGCAGCAGGTGATGAAAAGAGGTGCCCCTCCCCCACCCCAGTGGCTTTCAGCCTTGCTGGCAAACATTGTCTTTCACAGATATGAAATATTATTCAAGCAACATGTGAGTGCTGAGGACATGTTCCTGGGAATGAGCAGGAAGGACGCGTCTACGGCTTGCTGTGAGGACATGCTGGTAAGAAGCAGGCTCTCCAGGATCTTCCTCTTAACGTATTTGGCCCATTGTTCTAATAGGGATGGGGTTTTAATGGGGACGTGGGTGGTGCTGGACTAAACCGTGGAGCCTCTTGTGCTTGCTGATTGCAAGGTGGGCAGTTTGAGTCTGCTTGACGGGGTGAGCTCCTATTGCTTTGTCCCAGCTCCTGCCAACCTAGCAGTTCGATAGCATACCAGCACGAGTAGATAAACAGGTACTGCTGTAGTGCCAAGGTAAAGGCCGTTTCCGTGAGCTAGAAGCAGTTTAGTTGTGCTGGCCACATGACGCAGAAAAGCTGTCTGCCGACAAGCGACAATCCCTCATCCACACCCCATGAATTAAATTCGATTGGACAACTGTCCAGGGGTCCTTTGACTTGGCTGGGTGCCATTTTATTTGGGGGTGGGGTTCTTCAAAATTGTTTTTAAGTGTTATATATTCATTTGGATTTTGTTTTTGCGGACTGGGCTATTGTTTCGGGGCTTTTGTTGCGGAGTGTATTTTTGAATAGTTTGTATACATTAGTACTGCTAATTGTTTTAGTCATAGGGTGGTATACAAATTATTATTATCATCATTGTTATCTGTTATTATTAATTACATTAATAATAAATAATAATATTAATAATACTTTCAGCTAGCGTTCTTTGTGTCCCCAGCAAGGAGCTGTATCGGTGCTCCCTGGTAACCACCTCTGTTTTTCATTTCAGATTAAAATCAAACTTCCAGATACGAAGGCTTCAGACATTACCCTTGATATCCGGGAAAAGGTTCTTGATCTCCGGAGCCCAGAGAAGTAAGCTGGCAGGAGGGGTGTGGAAGTTCCCCTCAATTATTTTGGCCCAATTTGGCAGCGGCCGCTTGTTCATAAAGGAACTCCTGCACACACGAGGAATGAATCTTGCACAGTTGGCTGGTTGGTCGGCTGATTCTTGGGTGAAGATTCTTGGGTAGAAAGGCAGACTTTCCGCCGGCCTGTGACCTCCAGTGTGACACTTCAGAGTTGGTGACAGGGACGGGCTGTTTGTGGTGTCTGGTAACACTCTCTATTCTCTGCCTTTTTCTTAGTACACCCTTGAGTCTTGGCTAGCGCTTTCGGAAAGATGCACGCAAGCTTTGTGTGCAGGAAAAAGCTTTGAAAGTGGGAATCAGTGGCTGCCAAAGATCTGGAAGGAAGGAAATTATTGTTTTTGGTGGGGAGAGTTTCTGAACTCTTTGTGTGCCCCCCCCAACAACAATTTTATTATTTATATGCCGCCCATCTGACTGGGTTGCCCCAGCCATTCTGAGCAGCTTCTGACAAAATATTGAAAACACAAAAAACCTCAAACTTCCCTTTGGATGTCTTCTAAAAGTCAGATAGATGTTTATTTCCTTGGCATCTGATGGGAAGTTTTTAATGTTTGAGGCAGAGGCCCCCCTCAGCCTTGGCCACAAAGATTCCCTTCTTTCTTTCTTTCTTTCTTTCTTTCTTTCTTTCTTTCTTTCTTTCTTTCTTCTTTCTTTCAGCCAGTGTGGTGTAGTGGTTAAGAGCAATAGACTTGTAATCTGGGGAACCGGGTTCGCGTCTCTGCTCCTCCACATGCATCTGCTGGGTGACCTTGAGCTAGTCACACTTCTTTGAAGTCTCAGCCCCACTCACCTCACAGAGTGTTTGTTGTGGGGGAGGAAGGGAAATGAGAATGTTAGCAGCTTTGAGACTCCTTCGGGTAGTGATAAAGCGGGATATCAAGTCCAAACTCCTCCTCTTCTTCCTTCCTTCCTTCCTTCCTTCCTTTTCCTCATATGGCAGCTTCAGGTGACAGCTTCTACTTTTCTGTTTCCCAGGAAGCTTCTCTTGCACCTTCCTCACCCTGTGGATACCAAGAGTGGCAAGGCCTCTTTCTTCTCCGAAAAGGGCACTCTGGAAGTCACCTTGAGGATGAAACGAGAGCTTGATTTCATCAATTTTGCCTGAAGAGGAAAGGAAGCAGCTCCATAGAAATGGTTGTTGAGTGAGCAACCACAAAAGCTGGACTGAGCAGGAAGGGTGGGATCCTTCCTGCTGCAGCTCCCATTCCTTAGAGCTCTCACCAGGACTCTGAGATGGAAATCTAGCTGGGGAGGTGTCCCAGCAGGAGATGAGCTTTTGGACAGGGTGGTGATTGAGGTACATTATAGCCCAACCTTTCAGATTCGCAGCCAGGACCATTGTCTGCTCTTATTTCTGACAATTGCACACCTATTTTGTGGATAATTAAACTCTCTTTTCCATTCCTTAATGCATGTGTACATCAATATTATTTTGAGAAGATCTGCACATATAAGCAGAAAAAGAGGTTTCCTTGCATTTGATAAAAGGTTTGTTTTCAAGGCTGCCTTCTGTGTGTGGGGGGAGCACCCTGTTGCAACAGTTAATAAAGATCAGGCTTACTAGCTGCTTTGCTTCTCAATATTCTCTGGTTGGCCTCTGTTATTCTCTCCTACTGATAGAGAACCTACAAAAGGACTATATATGGGCTCTTGGGTTCCCCATAAGGGGAAAGGAGCAGTTTTATCACTTATAACAGTGGCCATCCCTGTCTCCTTGGGGAGTGAGTCCCAGAGTTGGACTCTGTGTTTTGAAGAAGAGCTGGCTCTCCCCGCATCCAGCTTCCCAGTTCTAGTGTTAGGAGAGTGGGACCTAAACTTTCCTCTGCCCACTTTCTCTATGCTGTGAATAATTGTACCAATTCCTATTGCGTTGCCTCTTAATTGCCTTTCCCCCGCTAAACTTAAAAAGCCCCAAACGTTTTCTAAACTCCCTGGAAGGTAGGACTCGAACCTATGGCTTCAAGTGACAAGAAAGGAGATTCCGACCCAACCTCAAGAATGGGGGTAGGAAACCTAAGGCCCAGGGGCCGGATGCGGCCCAGTCATCTTCTCAATCCGGCCTGTGGACGGTCCGGGAATCAGTGTGTTTCTACATGAGTAGAATGTGTCCTTTTATTTAAAATGCATCTCTGGGTTATTTGTGGGGTCTGCCTGGTGTTTTTACATGAGTAGAATGTGTCCTTTTATTTAAAATGCATCTCTGGGTTGTTTGTGGGGCATAGGAATTCGTTCTCCAAAATATTGTCCAGCCCACCACATGCTCTGAGGGACAGTGGACCGGCCCATGGCTGAAAAAGGTTGCTGACCCCTGCTCAAGAACAACTTTCTGACAGTAAGAGCTGCCTGACAGTGGGGTGGAAGGGGGTGGGCTCTCCTTCTTGGGATGTTTTGAAGCAGAGGTGGGATGCCCATCGGTCCTGGATGCTTGAGTTCTGGATTCCTGCGTGTGCTGCTATTAATCCACCATCCACACACAAGGAGGAAGGTGCGAGGGGGTCACAGAAACCCTATCATAGAATCTTAAAGTTGGAAGGGACCCTGGGGGGTCATCTAGCCCAACCCCCTGCAATGGAGGAATCTCAGCTCTAGCATCCATGACAGATGGCCATCCAACCTCTGCTCAGAAACCTCCAAGGAAGGAGAGGCCGCCACCTCCCGGGGGGAACCCGGTTGCTCTGTTCAGAAGCTGCCAGAAAGCACTTCTTTCTGATGTTGGGTCTTCTTCATTGTCCCTTGAAGCTCTGGGTTCAAGTTCCACCCTACATGAACTTGTGACATCTGGGATTCTTTGAGTTTAGAAAACTATTTGGGGCGCCCGTGCAGCTGATCCAGCGGGGCTTTCTGGAGGTGAGACCAGCGCCTCTCCTCTCTCTCTGCCTGGAGCAGCCCAGAGGCTCCTGCTTCCATTTCTGTCCCGCTTTCCCGGGGAAGATGCTGGGCTTGGCTGTGGCTGTCCTTCCTTGCGGAGGCACTGCAGGTGGGTCATATTATTATGTATTATTATTAGTAGGGGGTGGGTGCTCCTGCTGGAGGGAGTATGGGGAGGGATTTTAAAAAACCCATTAAGCAAACCATTTCAATTTTAAGTTTTTTTCCATGTCTTCTTTTTCTAGTTACCAGTTTGTCCAGATTTTCACATCTTATTATTTTTAAAGACCTCTTGAAAATTGATCAGCATTTTGGTGCAGATCTCTCCTAATGTACATGCTTTTGCAAAGGGTATTTCCCCTAATATTTACATTTCCTATAGTTCTTGCATTCCTGTATATTTTTCCGCTAAAACAATGCATTTATAGGTCTTTCCCCCTTTGCATGGGGGTAGGAAATCTTTTCCCAATAGAAGGGCAGACCTTTCTCCTGCTCCCCTCCCTAAAAGTGAACTTGGGCAGGTGGGTGACATTCCTTAGTCTCCCCATAGAGCTTGGGGTCAAGGCAAACCCTAAAACATGGGAAAACCTTTTGCAGGGACTCCCCCTGGAACTTGTAACATTTTTTTCCTGGCCTGATTTTAGTATAATTTATTGAATGTATATACTTCCATTTACCCACAGATCTCAGGACAGTTCACAGGATAAAATTACAATATAGAAACTCAAAGTACATAATAAAAACAAAAAAAGCAACAACCCAGTAACACCCCCACCCCACATTTTAAAACGTTTGTGTTTCAGTTAAGTACAGCAGTTTCTGCCAGAGCAGTTCTGGGTAAAAGAGGTTAAAAAAAAGAGAGAAACAAGAAACTTCAAGTCCACATTAAAAGTCCAAGTGTGACTGAGGCCTTATACAGACCGGCTACTACTACTACTACTACTACTACTACTACTACTACTACTACTTTTAATATTGGACCCTACTGACATTTAAACAAAGAATGTTTGTTAACTGTGTTGAGTGAGAACAGTGTCATTTATTGGACATTTAAATGAGAAACTCTACTTTCTTACAATTGTTCAACAAGGCCCCGTATACACTATAACTGCAAAGCACATTCCTCGCCCCTTGAGAATTCCGTGGATTGTAGTTCACTAGGATTCCCAGCAGCCCTTAACAAACCACAGTGCCCAGAACTTGAGGGGGGGAGAACATGTACTTCGCAAGTATAGTTTTTATGTAGTTTTAAATAATCAAAATATCCCATGTGCCCACGAAAGGCAGGCAATTACACATAAGACAACCAGTTAAATGTAGCAGGGCATTGTGACTGTATTCAAAGGCTCAGAAACCTTAAGGCAGAACCCCATCTCACGAGCTACAGGCATTGGGATAGTCTCTCATGATAATTTCTCCCCTCTGTGGGTTCTTTGTGTCATGTGACAAAGACACATGAGAGCAGAAGCAGCAAAGCAGGCTGGGAAGTGCTGGGACTGCACAATCATTTGGGCCTGCTAATGTTATTCAGGCCTAACTGCTAAGCGTTGAGTCACTCTGACATCTGACTTAGCAGCCAGTTTCTCTTTTGTGCTCTCTGTAAAATTTCAGTGAGAAACTGTTTGTTTCAGTTGTGAGCAGAGTCAGTATGTAATCTCAGTAAAACTGTTTGGAACCATGTTGTTTATGAAGAAGTTTATTTTAATTCAGTAAAGTTTTTATTCTTTAAAACTCTGCATTATTAATTTACGCTGCGCGTCACTTTGGTGTGAAAGAAGGTGTACACTTTTTTCCACACTCCAAGCATTTCCTGTGTGAATTCCTTTATTTCCTTTGATTTAGCAAACAAGTTCTGAAAATTTCTACGGTACCTGCTCTTTGTGACCCAGCTGATGTATCCCAAGGCTTAAGGGAGACATGAAACACGTTTGACATTTGGAGCATATAAAATGTTTCTTTACAGAGCGGGTTGTGTCATCTCCAACAAAGTCCGATGGAGGAACAGAGCTTATGCCACAATCTGTCTTCTCTATGTGGGCTCTCCAATGTGCAATAAGGTTTGTGCTGCTACTGCAGCTATGTTCACATGCTGAGCATTTATAAGGTCTCTCTTCAGTGCAGATTGTTTTATGTTCAGTAGAGCTTGCTTGAGAAGCATAACTGGTGCCACTGTCTAGCTTTTTCTCTGTACGGGTTCTCTGATGTGCAGTAAGGTCTGTGCTGTTACTGAAGCTGTGGTCACAGTCTGAGCATTTATGAAATGTCTCTCTAGTGTGGATTCTTCGATGTGCAGTCAAGTTCGACGTCCTCTTGAAGCTCTTTTCACACAGGTCACATTTATAGAGCATCTCTCCTGTGCAAATTCCTTGACTTCTGGCAACTTTTGATGTATGGCAGAAGCTCTTTGCACCCCTGGAGTGTTTATATGGCTTCACCCCTGCATGGAGTCTTCGATGTGCGATAAGGTTTGACTTCCAATTGAAGCTTGTCCCACATTGTTCACATTTATGGGGTCTCTCTCTTGTAGGAACTCTCTTGTGTTTCAAATTCTCTTTTACATCTTCATGCTTAAGTCCTGGCAGAATCGCACATGGTTCTACCTCATTCTCAACTACCTGCACATCACCTGTCGGAATAAAGAGAAAGACCCAAAATGACAAGCAAGACCTCAGTTTGCTCTCTCTTCCCCCATCGTGAGTCATATTCTCCCCTCTGGAAAGGCTGGTGGGAAAACTTAGCTGTCCACTTCACCCACCCGCTCCAGTATTCCAAATTTGCAATGTTCCCTGTCCCCAAACTCCAGGGGTTGAGCTCACCAATGATTCAATGAAACTCATTGTCATAAGGTGAATGCTTTGGGAACCTTTCCTACAAGAAAACATTGCATCCCCTCTGAAGGACCCAGCTGCTGGAGATTTTTGTTTTGGTTTTCCTGGACTGTAATGCTTTAAGGTGAGCTCTGCTGGGTGAGACTAAAAGCCCATCTGGTCCAGAATCTTGTACCAACAGTGATCAACCAGATGTTTATGGGAGCCTGCAAAGTAAATTTGTAAACAAAACTACCCCTTTACACAAGCACCAACAGCAATAGATGTGAAACTAAAAGGCAAGGCTAGAAACTGGGGCATCCTCTTTTACCCTTTTGATGATGTAAAAGGGTAAAAGAGTATTGGGAAATAATTTATAATGAATTGAAAAAAATGTTTAAAAGCACCTTTACAAAAAAGCCAAGAGTACTTTTTTGGGGGGGGATAATTCAGATGGAAATTCCCAGGTGTCAAAAAAGGTTATTTATGTATGCTACCACGGCGGCCCGTGTTTCGTTAGCCCCAAAATGGAAAACGAGTGAGGTCCCAACTAAAGAAGAATGGCAACTTAAGCTGATGGAATATGTGCAGCTTGCGGATCTAACTTATAGAATAAGACAACAAGAAGAATATTTATTTAAAGAAGATTGGAAAATGTTTATTGAATATATGGAGGGGGGAAATTCTGTACGCTTGAAAACGTGGGCAGCATTAAGATAAATTCAACAATGTAAATAAGTTTTGATGGATGTAATAATGGAATGCTGAATGGTTTAGTTTATATAAAACATCCAGGGATTTATGCTATGCAAAATGAACCATGGAAAGAAAAGAAGAGAAGTCATCGATATTTTAAGGTTGTTTAAATGAATACTGTAAATTGTAAAACAGAAAATTTCATTAAAAATACATATTAAAAAGAAGAAAGAAACGGGGGGGGGGGGGCGCATCAAAAAAGGCAGGCTCAGAAAGCACAGCTTCTCCTTACTCAGACACCTGGCTTCCTCATTGTCAACTTCCTGCTCCATTTCCTGCCATGGCTGCCTCTGTTTCACAGCTGCCTGAGTCTGGCCTGCCTCAGAGGTATTTGCAGCCGCCTCCTTCTCCATAGACGCCTGAAATGTCAGAAAGGCATCCATTAAAAACAGCCCTACTGGACCAAGCCAATGGCCCACCTAGTCTGGCATCCTGTTCTCACAGTGGCCAACCAGATCAGTTTTATAAATAATAATAATTTTATAATTTATACCCCACCCATCTGGCTGGGTTTCCCTAGCCACTCTGGGTGGCTTACAGCACATGTAAAAACAGTAAAACGCCAAACATAAAAAATCCCCGATACAGGAACTGCCTTCAGATGTCTTCTAAAAGTTGTGTGGTTCTTTATCTCCTTGACATCTGGTGGGATGGCGTTCCACAGGGTGGGCGCCATCACCAAGAAGGCCCTCTGCCTGGTTCCCTGTAGCATTACTTCTCGCAGGGAGGGAACCAGCAGAAGACCCTTGGAGGAGGACCTCAGTGTCCAGGCTGAACGATGGGAGTGGAGACGCTCCTTCAGGTATACTGGGCCAAGGCCGTTTAGGGCTTTAAAGGTCAGCACCACCACTCTAAAAACTCAATATATCTAAGCCAGGTGGCCAAATGGCTCCTCAAACCAGGGTTACAGTCGCCAAAATGGAATGCCTAGTTGCCATTTTGGGGGCCAGACGGGTTCGAAAGCTGTATTTTTCAATATGACTTTTTGGTTCCGGAAATTCATCCCAATTGTGCAGATAAAATATGACACGTAGAATTCTACAGGATGTGAAAACATCAAAGTATTGAACAAAAGACACCTTGGTGGCTGTCACCAATTGAAGCTTTGTTGCTCAAACCACTTGGTAAAAGGGGAAGTGGCTTACATACAGAGATTTATTAAAGGACCAAGAAGGAAAATGGAAACTAAAAGATTATGAGGAAGTAAAAGATCATTTTCAGAGTTGGTTACATTACAGGCAATTACATGAGATGTACAAAGAAGAGAATAAGAAAGGATTTAGTTATGCCACTTCGAAATTTCAAAAGTCATAGAAGAAGAAGTGAAACTGCTGAAGAGTGCATATAGTATTCTGCTAGTATGGGAAACAAAAGAGGAGGTAAAATCAGTCATGATCAAATGGGCACAAGATATAGGACATAACATACAATTTGAGGATTGGGAAAAATTGTGGAAAACAGATTTAAAATTTACAGACTCTTCTCTTTTGAAAGAAAATTATATGAAAACGATGTATAGATGGTATATAACACCAGTACAGATAGCAAAAATGTACAAAACAGGGTCAAATACATGTTGGAAATGTAAAGAAAAAGAAGGGACTTTTTATCCTATCCGGTGGGAATGTAGAGAAGTTAATTTTTTTTTTGGAAATGATATATAATGAATTAAAGAAAATGTTTAAAAGGACATTTGTTAAAAAACCAGAAGCATTTTTGTTAGGGATTGTAGGACAAGACCTGCCAAAGAAAACAAAGACTTTATTTATGTATGCAACAACAGCGGCAAGAGCCATGATAGCACAAGGATGGAAGAATATCCGCCCTCCCTTCCTCACGGGTGGGCAGGGTTTGCGGCACCGAGTGGAGCTCACCTGGGCGGGTGCCACCCACCTGCTTGGGCCGGCCTTTGACCCGCCCTTGGCCAGGGAGGACAATGGCCGGCCAGCCAGGAGTGGGCCCAAGGCCAAAGGAAAAGAGACTGTCTCCGTTGCCCAAGTCTCTTTTGCTGTTCTTCCTTCCAGGATCAGGATCATCAGGAGCGTGTCCAGGTGGCCGGATTGAGGTAAGTAACCGGCCTCTTCGCATTTTGCCTGGATGGGGGGGGGGGCTTGGCCCCTCTACCAGGCTAGGCCGCATTTTTGCGGCCTTCTTTCTTTCGTTAGGCCGCGTTTTTGCGGCCTTCCTTTCGCTAGGTTGCGTTTTTGCGGCCTTCTTTCTTTCACTAGGCCACGTTTTTGCGGCCTTTCTTTCGTTAGGCCGTGTTTCATAGAATCATAGAATCATAGAGTTGGAAGAGACCACAAGGGCCATCGAGTCCAACCCCCTGCCAAGCAGGAAACACCATCAGAGCACTCCTGACACATGGTTGTCAAGCCTCTGCTTAAAGACCTCCAAAGAAGGAGACTCCACCACACTCCTTGGCAGCAAATTCCACTGTCGAACAGCTCTTACTGTCAGGAAGTTCTTCCTAATGTTTAGTTGGAATCTTCTTTCTTGTAGTTTGGATCCATTGCTCCGTGTCTGCTTCTCTGGAGCAGCAGAAAACAACCTTTCTCCCTCCTCTAGGTGACATCCTTTTATATATTTGAACATGGCTATCATATCACCCCTTAACCTCCTCTTCTCCAGGCTAAACATGCCCAGCTCCCTTAGCCGTTCCTCATAAGGCATCGTTTCCAGGCCTTTGACCATTTTGGTTGCCCTCCTCTGGACACCTTCCAGTTTGTCAGTGTCCTTCTTGAACTGTGGTGCCCAGAACTGGACACAGTACTCCAGGTGAGGTCTGACCAGAGCAGAATACAGTGGCGCTATTACTTCCCTTGATCTAGATGCTATACTCCTATTGATGCAGCCCAGAATTGCATTGGCTTTTTTAGCTGCCGCGTCACACTGTTGGCTCATGTCAAGTTTGTGGTCAACCAAGACTCCTAGATCCTTTTCACATGTACTGCTCTCAAGCCAGGTGTCACCCATCCCGTATTTGTGCCTCTCATTTTTTTTGCCCAAGTGCAATACTTTACATTTTCCCCTGTTAAATGTGTTTTTGCGGCCTTTTCCAGCTTTTGCTGGCTAGGCCGCAGGGGCGGCCTGCTGGCCCCCCGGCTAGGCTGCAGGGGCGGCCTGCTTTTTTTTTTTTGCTGTGGGAGGGCATAGCCCCCTGCCACTGCAGGCCCGAGTGCGCGGTGCGGCCCCTGACTAGGCCACAGGGGCGGCCTGCCGGGCCCCCGGTTAGGCCCTGCAGCCTGCTTGTTTTTGCGGCGGCGGATTGAAGAATGAGGAAACCCCGACGAAAGAACAGTAGCAAGAGAAATTGATGAACTATGCAGAACTGGCTAAACTGACATACAAACTGTGAGATAAAGGACAACTGTGATTTTAAAGAAGAATGGGAACTTTTCACAAATTACTTAAAAAGACAACAAAATGTGAGGATTTGTATAATTTTATAACATGCAGAGAATAATATGGGTTGAGAAATCAGAGAGAGGAGCTGAGGGAAGTCTCGGGGGGGGTTGAGGGGGAAAAGGGGAAAAAATGAATATGATATATTTTGCTATGTTGTTATGTTGAAATTGCTAATTAAAACATTTTTTTTTAAAAAAAGAAAACATCGAAGTACTTCAGGGAAAGGACGATGAAGCAGTGGCCCTTTGTATGTTGGTGAACTACAACTCCCATCACCCCAATTACTGGCCATGCTGGAAGTTGTAGTGCCATAGCTCCCCCCCCCCCCCGCCATGCCTGCTTTAAGGAGCTTTAGATGTTCAGTATTAAGCCTTGAGAAAGGCAAGAGATATTTCTCAGTTCCTCCAGAGCCTGAAAAAGTTGCCTACTCAGCCCCTTGAGGAAGACTAGATTAACAATATGGGGATAAATGACAACCTCCCCCAAGGCCTGTTGTTGTTGTTTAGTTGTGTCCGACTCTTCATGACCCCCTGGACCAGAGCACGCCAGGCACTCCTGTCTTCCACTGCCTCCCGCAGTTGGTCAAACTCATGCTGGTAGCTTCGAGAACACTGTCCAACCATCTTGTCCTCTGTCGTCCCCTTCTCCTTGTGCCCTCCATCTTTCCCAGCGTCAGGGTCTTTTCCAGGGAGTCTTCTCTTCTCATGAGGTGGCCAAAGTATTGGAGCCTCAGCTTCACGATCTGTCCTTCCAGTGAGCACTCAGGACTGATTTCCTTCAGAATGGATGCGTTTGATCTTCTTGCAGTCCATGGGACTCTCAAGAGTCTCCTCCAGCAACATAATTCAGAAGCATCAATTCTTTGGCGATCAGCCTTCTTTATGGTCCAGCTCTCACTTCCATACATCACTACTGGGAAAACCATGGCTTTAACTATACTGGCCTGTAGCTTTCCTTATTCTCAAGAAGGGAGGCAGGGTGGAGTAGTGGTTAGAACGTTGGGCTAGGAGCTGGGAGACTGGGGTTCAAATCCCTACTCGACCATGAAGTTCACTGGGTGATCAAGTTGCTGCTTCTCCTCTCTCTCTCTTTCAAAATAATTTTTATTAGATTATCAATTTACATTTCAAAATAAACATTTTACACACGTTAAGGTATCACATGGCTTCACTTCTTATCCTTCCATGGTTCATTTCGTATATCCTTTATTCCTGCATATTTTACCTTAACCATTCAAATCAGATTTCCACTTTCACAACAATCAATTATTACTTACACTGTTGAGTTTATCTTAATGCTTCCAACGTTTTCACCTGCTTACAGTTATTTTCCATATATTCAGTAAGTATTTTCACTTTTCTTTAAATACACATTCTTCTTGCTCTTTTATTCTGTATGTTAAACCTGCAAGTTCTGCATATTCTAACATCTTAAATCACTAATCCTCTTTACAGGCGTCCTTGCTCACTTTCCATTTTGGGGCTAACAAAACACAAGCCGCTGTTGTTGTGCACATAAATAAACTTTTCTGACACCCCCAACAGAAAGGACTCTAGTCTTTTTGGGAAGGTAGTTTTAAGTATTTTTTCAGCTCATTATAAATTATTTCCCAAAATTCTTTTACTTTTTTTTACATGTCCACCACTTATGAAAAAAAGTTGGGGAGAAATATAAAAATTTGCTGCAAGGAAAACACCTTTATGGTTATCCCCCACTGAAGCAATTACAATTAAGAGAGTTAATATGGATAGACAATGCGCAAGTTAGGGAACTGCTAGACTTTACAGGGAGGGAACCCAGATTGAAGTCTATGGAAGACTTAAGGAGCCAAGTTACAGATTGGTTACGATACCACCAGATATCTGATATGTTTAAGTAAGATTTAAAAAATGCGGTTTTGGACCAAAGCTCACAATTTGAAAAAGAACTTTTACAAAATAAGGATAGAGTCCTGTCTAAAATGTATTACCTTCTATTAGAATGGGAAACAAAAGACGAATTAGTCAAAGCTTCAATGACACACTGGGCAATAGATATAGGACACAATATATACTTAATCCTCTGGGGGAAACGCTGGAAAAGTGATTTGAAATTTACTGCAAGAGAATTTTCTGAAAATGATTCATAGATGGCATTTAACTCCAAGTAGGTTGGCTAAGGAGGGACCCGGGTGGCGCTGTGGGTTAAACCACATAGCCTAGGACTTGCCGATCAGAAGGTTGGCGGTTCGAATCCCCGCGATGGGGTGAGCTCCCGTTGCTCGGTCCCTGCTCCTGCCAACTTAGCAGTTCGAAAGCACGTCAAAGTGCAAGTAGATAAATGGGTACCGCTCCGGCAGGAAGGTAAACGGCGTTTCCGTGCTCTGCCCTGGTTCGCCAGAAGCGGCTTAGCCATGCTGGCCACATGACCCGGAAGCTGTACGCCGGCTCCCTCGGCCAATAAAGCAAGATGAGCGTCCTAACCCCAGAGTCGACCACGACTGGACCTAATGGTCAGGGGTCCCTTTATCTTTACCTAGGTTGGCTAAGATGTACAAAGTAGAATCAGATATGTGTTGGAAATGTAAAGAGATGGAGGGACCTTTTTTCCCATATGTGGTGGACGTGTAAAAAAGTAAGGGAATTTTGGCACAGTCACTGCTTCTCAGCCTGATGTAGCTCACGGGGCTGTTTGGGGTGAGGGAATCTAACAAGGAGGGGAGAACCAAGTAGGCCACATTGAGTTCCTTGGAGGAAAAGATGGGATATAAACACTATATATAAATACGTAAGATGGAGAGAGAGCCCTTTCCCATCACCAGCCCTCCAGCAAAACACAGGTGTTACAAGAATGTTAGGGTCTCAAATATAGAATAGATATTCATAAATGCACACATATCTAAATATATGAACCATGTATCTAAAATAGCACAGGAGAGCAATCCTGAAGCCATTTTGACTCTCCCAATGACCTCAGATATTCCTCTGCAGTAAGGGAGGCAAATGGGGAAAGCTTTCCCATTGTCTTTTTGCTTGCGAATCCTATCTTAAGGGTGTATTTGTGTATGAACAGGTTGAACCTGTGACCTGGATTCAGGAACTAAAGTATTAACCAGGGGTCAGCAACCTTTTTCAGCCATGGGCTGTTCCACCGTCCCTCAGACCGTGTGGTGGGCCAGACTATATTTTGTGGGGGGGAAATGAACGAATTCCTTTGCTCCACAAATAATCCAGAGATGCATTTTAAATAAAAGGACATTCTACTCATGTAAAAACATGCTGATTCCCGGACCATCCGCCGGGCGGATTGAGAAGGCAATTGGGCCACATCTGGCCCACGGGCCTTAGGTTGCCTGCCCTTGGTATTAACCATCACAAAAGAATGGCCAGGCTGCCCAGGTAAAGCAATCAGTGATCATTATCAGGTATCCTGGCAGACAGGATTTCTGCTGTGGACCCCCACCTTCTGTGATGTATGTATGATGTTTTGGGGGGTGGTCTTCGGCTACAGGGTGAGCAATTTCAAAA